CCCCCCTAGGCAGAAGGGCCACAGCTCCTCTCTACAGAAGGAAAAGTTTGGTGAAAAGAAGCAGCCGCATCGTTACAGGGGTGCAGAAGGGCTGCTCTCCCTCGCCAGCACAGACAGAGCCTTGGTATCGTCTTCTCTTGGGGAGGGACGCACACTGATGCGGTTACAAATGACTCTCAGATAACAATTCGCAAGTTAGTCTTCCCCCATTGCTTGCAATTTCCCCCTTTTTGAAGTTTGTCTTCTTGCATTCCAAGGAGTTGAAGAAAGCAAGCTGGCGCCCACCCGTCTCAGCGCCCCCCCTGCCCCCCCGCCCCTTTGCAGACCCTGGCCCACCTTCCCCTGTTTTCCCTTTGTGTAAACACCCTGCACTCTGCCGAAGGGCAGGACGGTGTCTTTCACCCGTGAGCCTGCTGCCTCCTCATTTGTCCACACATTAAACCACTTTCCTTTTCCTCAAACTGTTTCCTTCTATTGGCTGAGGGAAACTGAGGCCTGCGTTCTGTATCCCTATCTCTCCAAAAGCAGCACCGAAGTGGGATGAATGTTGGGGAAATTCAAAAGCCCACTAGACGCCTGGAGTGAGGGTCCCTGTAAGGCTTCTGCAGATTTGTCAGCCTCGGGACAGGCTGGCAGCTGGGGTTGCCGGATCCCCCATCCCCCGCCGGCCTCAGCAGGATGTCCACTCCCCTTCTGCCCCAGCCTCCCAGCCCCGCTCCACACGGCTACTTGATAAATGTCAGGGCACAGGGGAAGGTGAATGAGGCTGCCTTGGGTTTGGCTTATTCCAACAAACCCTCCTCTGATTCTGGAGTTAAAAGGAATCATCCGAAGGGTCACTGCGGGATGTCTGGGATGTCTTTCCACCTCCGTTCCCTCAGCCTGACCACTCCCCACCCCAGGGTCCCAGCAGAAATGACTGTGCATGTCCCAAAGGGGCTATGTGCTGCTGGGCTCCAGCTGAAAAGAATCCCGGGAGCTCCAGATGTGGGAACTGGGGAGTTTCGCAACCTCGTCTCCCACCCCTATAGACACCCAGGGGCACTAACTGCTCTCTGCTGGCATATTTCCAGTTCCGGGAGCTCACTGATTCCAGCAACAGTCTGTCGTCCTGGTGAGTTTTCTTGGACTTCCAAGTTCACCCCTGGGGCCTACCACTGGCTTCCCGACTGGGCTAACGTATTTGAAGACATGGACTGAATTTGTATTGGGCAACACCTCCTTTATACTGTGGCATCGTCTACTTGCTGATGGTATTCAAAATAATCATCTGTGGCCTCCCTGGTGGTGCAAGTGGTTAAGTCTCAGCACTTTGAAGCTGCTGGCAGCCACCGCAGCACGAGTTGGACACCCCCCTCCCTCCCGAAAGAGCTGACCCACATGGCGCAGCAGACCTCTCCTGTCTCCCCACTGCTCCCCTCAGCAGTGTATTTCACTGGATCCACCTGTTCTACTCCCCACTCTGTCTCTGGTGAATCCTTACTCCCCATACCTCTGGCCTACACCCCAGTTCTTGCAGATAAGAACTGGCACCTATTTACTATAAATAAAAATTAAAATGTTCTCTTATCTTCTATTCCACTGGTTAAAAATGAGTTATTTGGGTGAAAGGGAGGCCACTATGACCACAAACTCTTCTTTGCTAGCTGGAGGTTGATCAGAGACAAACCCGTTCCTCTTACGCAGTTCATAGTCTTTAGCTTCATGGCAGAAAGAAGTCCACTAGCAGCTACACGGCACAGGAAATACCTTTTATTGTTCTGTACACTTCTTTTTCCATGAAGAGAACAGCTTTTAAAATAAATCCACAGGAGACAGAGACATCGGCCTGACATTGGGACCGTCCGCGACAGAGCAGGCACCGCTGCAGCTGTCCTTATTTACAAGGAAGTGGAGAAACGGAGAATGGGGGCGGGCACCCCACCAACCTCACTGCACCAGGGGCCTGGCGACCCTTGCCATTGTAGCAAGAAGGGTTCTGCCGTCCACACAGCTGTGGAGCCTGGGCCGCACGGGGTGGTGGGGTGCGCAGGGCGATGGTTACCCTAGAAATCCTCAGGACCAAAGGGTTGGATCAGAAAGCAAACAAAAACCACGTGTTCCTGGCATCAGCTGAAGAAATATTAGAGAAAGAGGAACTACGGAATGCACAGAAAAACCAAGTTGCCCAGTCCAGAAATCTGACATCTCTCTGCTTGATGCATGATCGGTCGCTGGATGATTCTGGAGAGCCCCACAGTAAAAGGGGTGCTTCTCTCACTGTGCGGGGACACAGACTGCTGTTGCAGAAACGAGAATTTTTTCCCCACTGGATGCGATTTTTGATAATCTGATCTAACCTTTGCCTTTACTGGGAAAGAACTTGGAAGCCCAGAGAGGTGAAGCCACTCTCCTCGGGACACCAGCCAGGCAGCTGTGGACCCAGGGCTGTGCAGTGCTAAACGCTGTGCTGTTCCCAATTCCCCACACTCCCTCTCTGTTCTCCATTCCATGGTTTTCAAAGACATAAATGAACAAATGACACGAGCTCAATGGGCTTCTTTACAAAGAAACGACCTCTTTGGTAAGAATGCTTCTGTCTCGCATTTCCGTTGCAAAATGGATCATATGGCAAGAGACTGGCTCCCTGGCCAGGAACCCCTTGAGCGTTAAGGCAGCTTGGGGCACTTGCCTTCAGCGGGGTAAGTGATCAGAGTGGTCGTGCCCCCTCCCTTCGCCTCGATGGCGTGCAAAGACACACGGCGTGGATTTTAACGCGGTGGTTTCAAACATATCGTGCATTTTGTGCAAAATAATCATTTAAAATCTGGTAAAATATCAAAAGTGTCGCATACAGTACACAGGCGCCCCCTCATCCTGGGTCACCTCTGCTATCCAAAAAAAGAAGGGCCACAAAAACAGAAGTCAAACATGAGAAGGTGAAGCACAGACTCCCTCTCCGTGAAGTGTGGTGGAAGGTGAGCCCAGCACTCCCTTGAGAAATTCTGAGGGCTTCCTGGGCACCCCCACCCTGCCAGGGGCCCTGGCGCAGGAGCCACCTTCCGCCACAAGAGGGCAGCACCATGGCGCTGTTGGCGTTGGGTCAACGAGCACCGCAGCTCCTTGCGCCCTGGGGACAGGAGAGCCACCTGCAGGCGGGGGGGAGCACTGCAGGCTCTCTGGAGCGGACCACGAGGTCCACAAGACACCAGGGCTTTTTGGTGGCTGGCCTTTCAGCCAAGGGGACGCAACTTTTCAGATCCCACCGTTCCAAAGAGTGATTCTTTTCATCCAAAGAGAGCAGAGAAACACTTTTCTCTCCGGCAACAGCTAGATGGGAAGACATGCCATCCTGTCCCCTCTTCCAGCACATTGTTCTTTTGCTGGGACACACTCCTTTGTCACTTGACTCCTTTGTTTCTGCGGAGTGGCAGCCCTGGGCGGGGTGAATCGTGTTGTGCAGGGCATTTCAAAGTGCTCTGGGCTGAGAATTGGGGGAGCTGACCTGAGGGAGGAGGCGGGAGGAGGGGTCCCTTAGCAGCTGAGATGCCTTGGGCAAGAGTGAATGACATCTGGGCCGTGGTCCTCTGACCCGGGGAACGGCGAGACAGTGGCTAGTCCAGGCATCTGCACTGGGTGGGCAGGAGGTGACCAGGATAAAAGTGCTTTGTAACAGAAAGAAACCAAACCACCAACCGACCCAACCAAAAAAACTGTCACCCCTTGGGAGGGATGGTCCTTCATGGGAAGATTTGAAGTTACGTCAGGGACCAGATTCTGCCCTCTCTCGTCTCCCAGACCCCCATCTTCTTGTCCCACTGCTGGGAGGCTCCCCCCTTTCACAGGGGCCCAAGCCATCTGCCACTTGGTTGGCTTTTTACACAGAAAGAAGCAAAGTCCCCTGATATCCCCTCTTTTTTCGAAGCAATGACCTACTGTCCCTGAGTCTCAGAGCCCTCCCAGAGGAGACCTCCCCTGCCCGTAGCCGGCTCCCACATAACCACAGACCCTGCAGTCAAGTCGCCCTGTTCAGCGACAACCTACTTTTATGCACAGTGCCCTGGGGATGCAGAGTCCCAGGCTCCCTGTGAGATGAATGGTCTCTCTCACTCTTTTTCTGGCCCTGGATTCTGCAACAGGGTTCCCACCTGTTAGAAAAGAACTCACAAGTCTAGGTCTCCCGTGAGGGCAGAAGAGACTCCAAGCAGCAACAGAAGCCTGGGCTGGATGCTGCCCATTCCCCAAGCTGGAGATAAACCATTTCTAGGATGAGCTGCAGCTGACCTCTTGGGCCGCCAGAGGGCACCACCTGCTAGGCATGCAGCGATCTCCTGAAACTACCAACCTGTTCTCAGATCAACTTCAGCCACCTGGTTGTTCTATGACAGGTGCCTTCCTGCCCGCCAAGGTGCCATGTCTGGCCCATGAAAAGGGGGCTCTCAGGCCTAGCTCCCTATCATGAGAGATCCCTGGCACATGCGGGTGGGATTCTTAGAGAAAGGCATCCTGTGGGCTCTGCGAGGTCAGCAGAGGATCTCATGGTGAAGACATACCCTTGGCCATGCTGGGCTCCTGTCCAAGCACCCCAGAAAGTCTGGGGGCCAGGGCCCTGTGTGCCTGGCAGACGAGACCAGGCCATCTGTTCTGCAGGACCTGCTCACAGGAGCTCATCTGCATTCTCCCCAAGGACACCCATGCTCTGGACCACCTGACCACCAGAAGCTGGAAGAATGTTCCAGAATACACATAAATCAAAGTCCGGTTGGGCGGAGTGAATGTTAACTACTAAGTTTTCTTCACGTGATCCTCCAGAGTATCGATCCACAGGCTTCATTTCAGGGACAAGTTCTGCAAAGTTCCCTAACTGTCCAGTGCCCAGCGCACAGGCAGGCGGTGGGAGAGGGAAGATCCGGCCCCCACACTCGGCCTCTGCTGGGCTTTCTGCTTGTGTCTTGGTTTTTTTGGTGTCTGAGCAAAGGCAGCATCCGCTCTCGGGCTGGGCGGACCGAGGATTTCTTTCGTGGCCCAAAGTACAAGCAAAAGTGGTAGGGTTCCAGCACACGCTGTGGGCGGGCTCCCAGATTGGGTGAGATCCCCCAAACAAAAGAGGTTCATCAAGTCCTTTTCCTGTTCCCTCTTCTCCTCCTGCCTCCCTGGAGCCTCACCCATGCAGGCTCACAGCCCTGGCCAGATGAACAGAAGGTCACTAGAAACCAGACCACGAAATCATTGTAACTGGGGAAAGAGGAAGAGGGCTTGGGAAGACTGTCTTCCAGGAGAGGAACCCCAAGACCGTGTCCGGGGCAGGAGTGGAGCAGGTGCCTTGACCCTGAACGTTGGCGGCGGGGTTCCTCCTCAGGGTGGGGTTCAGATGGCCAACCAGTGCTGCAGCTGCAGAGAAAAGACAGAACGGCCTTCACGCCAGGGTGGGGGCAGGCGGGGTCTGGGAGCCCAGAGACCCCAGGAACTGCCCAGGGCAGCAAAAATCAAAGAGAAGGCAGAGAACAGGTTCTGCTCCCTCAGCGGCCCTGGAAAACATGCAGGTGCTTCCCTAATCGTCACTGAGGCCTTTTCAGGGGCATTTGGTGGAAGCCGGTAGAAGGTAGAAGACAGCCCCGTCCTCCATCCCCAACACCACACCCGTGGGTCTCAGCCCGCAGCTGGTCCAGGGTCCTGCGTGTGGTCCAGCGCACCGCCAGCAGAGGCTGGGCATGGCCCCGCAGCCCCGCCTGGAAGGCACTGACCTGGAACTGCCTGACGTCCCTCTGGGCCACCAGGTGATGCTCGTTCTCTGGCGTGATGCCATAGGCCAGTCTCTGTGAGAGGACAGAGAAGGGGCAGCGGCCTCAGCCAGGCCCAGGGACACTCAGCAGACACTCCCGGGTAAGGGGCCCCTGCTGTGGGGCCCTGACATCCACACAGACAGCTCTGGGTCCCTCCAGACACTCCTGCCTGTGTTTGTGGAGCTGCCCGATCAGTGAGTTGTTTTTTGTTTTTTTTTTTTAAGATTTATTTATTTATGCATACAAGAGCTGGGGTGCAGGCCAGAGATGTGGGAGTGAGAGGATTCACCAGAGACAGAGTGGAGAACAGAACAGGTAGATTGACCGAAGTATACTGCTGAAGGGAGCAGCGGGGGAGTCAGGAGAGGTCTGCTGCACCATGTGGGTAGCTCCCTGACTGGGGATCGAACTTGTGCTGCAGAGGCTGTGGATAGCTTCATAGTGCTGCGTCTTAACCCCTTGCGCCACCAGGGAGGCCCTGGCTGGTGAGTTTTTATTGCTGCAGCTACTGTGGCCAGAACCTGGGCTAAGCCCAGAACCAGAGCTGAAGGCCACCTGCGCCGCCTCTGCCTGGGGAGTGTACAGCTCCTGAGAGGGGCTGGCATGGAAACAAACATATGGGCACTTTTCAAACAGGAGCAGGGCGAGTGCAGCAGAGGGGGAGGCCAGAAGGGGCCAGACACCAACACAGGAGCAGCTGCAGGCCTCGCTGGGATGAGCAAAGGCCTCCCGGGGTCAGGCACAGGCAGGAACTAGAAGGTGTTGGGGATCAGTGGAAACCCTTCTGTTCCCAAGCTGTGAAGAATAAAAAGCTCGAAGCAAGGCCTGGCTCCCAAGACCAGGTTAAGGGTCCCTCACAGCACCCCATTCCCCCGTGAGCCAGACAGGCTCAGGCTTTGGGGCTTCATGGCCAGGACACACATCAGGAAGATCTGGGGGTGGGCATGGCCTCGCCTGGGAGCCTGGGCCTCTTGTGCCCGCCTGGGCCCTCACTAGAACGCCAGCTCCCTGAGGCAGGACCCGTGTCTCGCGCCACGAAGCTCCCCAGAGAGTGTCAGGGAGGTCGTGGAGGGAAGGGCCGAGGAGTGAAATCTGCATCTTGCTAAGTAAGGACATGAGGGAAAGACTATCAGTCTTGACAGTTTTATCCACCAAAGGGGAGACCCAATACAGGCACAAAGGCCGCCATTTCCCCAGTACTGGCCCATCTAGACATGTCCACGCAGGTACGTGAAGGAGGTGAAAGAAGAAGAGGCTGAGACGACAGGGCCCCAGGAGCTCGGACACGGGGGACACGAGGAGCCTGGCAGGGAGCCGTGCCTGTGCCCTGACGAAGGGGGTCTGCGTGACTCGCCCCTGGGGGGCTCGGAGGCTGAGGGCAGCTTCTCACACACACACCAGCATGCGGGGCGGGAGGGGCACATGACACGCGGGCAGGTGACTCCTGTGGGCGTGGCCAGGGAGCCGCACTGTGGACACACCCCTCCCCCTTCCAAGGGGGCTGCATGTACCTCCAGGACACACATGTGGAAAGCGAGTCTGGGGTAAGTGACCTGGCCGGGGGCGGCCTGTCCCCTCCCAGCCCCGCGGCATGGCTCAGGGCACCCCTCCCGGGCTGTGCCCACCCTCCTGGAGCACCCGGCTCACCTCCCAGAGGGAGCCCCGCGTGCTGAGGAACTTGTAGAGGATGTAGGCGGGCACCAGGGCCATGGAGGAGAGCGCCACTCCCCACCCGACCCAGTTGGCCCAGGGCGGGAAGATGTAGTCATCGTAGGTGAGAGGCTTGAAGTTGATGATGCTCACGATCACCACAAACTGGGGGAGGTGGGGACAGCGAGGCGGGGTGGGGGGGTGGGGGGGTGGGGGGGTGGGGGGGTGGGGGGGGTGGAGGGGTGGGGGGTGGGGGGAGAAGCCAGGAGAGGGAGGGGGAAGGGAAGGAGGCAGGACAGGGCAGAGACAGGCAGAAAGGAGGAGCAGAGAGCGGTGGATGGAGGTGGGGGCCGGGCTGGGGGGCAGCCCACAGCCTCGCCCCCGACAGGGACCCCAGGCCGGAGGGCCCATCCCCACCCCAGGGAAGCCCACTGGGGTGTCCACAGGGCTGAGCCTGAGAGTCCAGTCTGCAGGACCAGGGCTCCCCATCCCAAAACCTCCACCCCTAATGCCCAGTCCCCCCCCCCCCCGGGAAGCCCCCACCCCGGCTACACACCAGGAGGAAGGCGGGGCTCACAAACTTCCAGCACAGTCTCCAGTACAGACCCGGCTTGAACCCCATCATCTGCTGGATGTCGTGGCTGAACCTGTCCACGCCTGCATGCACACAGGAGGCCCGTCACAGCCGCCCCCCTGCCCTGGGCAGCGCCTGGCTGCCCCCCACGGGGGCCAGGCCCCAGGCCATCAGGGCAAGACAGCGACAGCCCCCCAGCACGGAAAGACCTGAGCAGGGAGAGGACAGGGCTGGGGAGAGCATCACCTATCCCGAGTCACCCCAGTGCACTTCCGGGAGGGAGGTCAGCCCGGGAGGGCAGGAGATGGGTGAGGACTGGCCTCTGGGGGGGAAGGAGCGGGACCAGGGTTCGCACTGACATGACTGGCTTGTACGGAAAGAGCTGTTTGTTCGTCTGCAATGCCAGTTGCCCTGGGCATCTTGTGTTCTATTGCCCGGTCTGGCAACCCTCTGCAAGCGCGGGTGGTGGGACTTGGGGGTCAGTAGCCTCCTGCAGGGTCCTCTTTAAGAGGAGACACTGGGGTGCAGGGAGCTGTTCCCCAAAAGCAAATTGCCGACTCTGGAATCAGCGTGTGGTTGTCCGGAGCACGGGGCCCCGCACTTACCATAAAACCAGGAGACCCCGATGGCTTCCATGAGCACAGCAAACAGAATGGAGGTGCCCGCGGCGAAGGTGTCCAGCAGTGTCAGCACATATATCCCGCCCTGGGGGGGGGGACAGAGACCCCAAGGCCATCAAGAAAGGGCTGTCACACCCACCAGCACTTACCTGTCCCCAGTCCCACCGGTTCACCACGCGGCTGGAGCAGGCAAGTGATGGGGGCGTGGTGCCTTCTGAAAAGGCTTTGGGGAGTCACCAGGTGTCAGGTGGTAATTCAGTGTAAAGAGAGACAGTTTCTGAGGGACTTTTGCTGCTCCCCAAATCAATCAGCAGTTAAAAAGTGTTGCCCAGAAATCCTCATGCTCAGAGATGGGGGGAGATAATGGGGTGTCACCCCAAGGGATCAGCCACAAGATTGATGGTGTGGGGCCCCACCATGGCTCCCTCGAGCTCTCCCACGGTTAGAAATGTCTAACTCAATTGAAATGCAGCCCCACAAGCTCCAGGTGACCCCAAGTTCCGTTCCTCCTCACCTTGGTTATGCAGAACAGGGCCAGAAGGAAGGTCCCAAAGGTGACCCCGAAGGTGAAGAGCTTCCGGTGTCGCTTCAGGACCTGGAAGTCATCGGCCAGGCCGGTGATGACCGCCTCCATGCCACCCATCTGGAGGGAACCAGATGGGGCACAGGGATGAGGGCCCCCATACTAGTCTGGCCCTCAGCCCAGGACGCACCTGCACCCTGGCCGCCTCGCTTCTCCAGAAACCAGCACAGCCTTCCCCTCTGCTCCCCACCTTTCTGCCCTGTTCTGAACACAGAACTCAGGAATGATGCGGGAGAGTGAAGCTTAACCCCCGTCTGCCCTAATCAGTGCCTTCTCTCCGTCCTGCACAGCCTGTGAGGCTACGATGAGCTCAGCTGATTCAATGCCTAAGCCCCGGGATACATGCATGCCAAGAAGAACCTTCTAGAAACAGTTACACAGAAGAGCTTCTGGTGGGGAGAACCTCAGGCAGCAGCTTCAACAAGGATTTTGGCTGCCTTTTTAATGGTTAAGCAAAGTGGCCCCCTCACAGTCGCACCCCCCACTGGCCTGGCCAGAGTATTCTCCATGAGGCCATGCATGACCGCATCTGAGTCACAATCGTGTATTCACTTAAGAGGCACCCTGTGCATGCACGCTCTCCACGTGAGACTCCACAGGGGTGGACATTGTCCACCAGTCAGTGGCCCCTCCAACAAGCCCAGGAGCAACCCCTGAATCCTTCTCCACACACTGCTCCTGGCAGATCCACCTGCGGAAGAAAGAGGCAGCAAGGAAGCCTGTTGGGCAGTCTGAGATTGGGGCTTCTTGGTAGTAAAAGTGGACGTAGATTGAGAAAGAGGTCAGTGGATCTAATCTTAGCTGCAGGTACAATAAAAGGTTCTAAGAACTAGTGGGGTTCAAGGTGTCGTGTTGGTTGTTGATGAGCTGAGATGGGAAGAGCACTTGGTTAGAGAACCAGAGTTCTATCCATATCCCCTCTGAATTTAGGGGGGTATCCTGCTGGCTTATTGGGTTGCCTCCTGATGTGGATTTTCAGGATGCCATTGGGGTCTCTATGGGCTCTTGGTATTGGCCTAATTCTTGCCTTTTTGAGTGAGAATGTACTGCCTTGTTTGCATTTAAATAGGGCTTTCTAGAAATAACTACTAATCAGGAGGTATAATGGGGGAAATTCAGGCTGAGTTGCAGTGTGTGTGTGCAGGTACAGGTGAGGCCTGGGCAGGCCAGTGAGGCCTGGAGAGGTGGGTAAGGCCTGGGCGGGGCAGGTGGCATCCTGAGCAGGGTCACTCACCGAGCTGTCAATGCCCAGAGCCAGCAGCATGATGAAGAACACCACAGCCCAGAATGTGGACCCCGATAGAGTAGAAATGGCTTCTGGGTAGAGGATGAAGACGAGGCCAGCTCCTATAAAAAATGCGGACAACTCATGCAGGGCTGAGACTGCTGCCCTCCGGGTGGCAGGGTGCCGCGGACAGGACTGCTGATGAAGTTCTCTGCCATTAAGGAAGACTTGGAGTCTAAATGAATTTGCAGTGCGAGGAGGCTGGGGAGCCATCGAGAGCAGCTCTGCCTCGCACTCTCCCAGCCCAAGCTTTTATTAAAGAATGAACAAAGGAACAAGAAAATAGCGCGCAATTGTGTTTTTGCTTATACAGATTAATAAGTTACTGCTGAAAACAAGTTTTCCTGGTTAGTAAGCCAGCTCATAAGCCAGCTCATCCTCGGAGAACAGGAGTCAGTTCTGGGAAGAAGTTCTGTTTGCAGAATGTCTAATGTCCTGGAACTCCATATGTAGAGTAAACAGGTGCTCTCCAAAAACTCCAGCTCCCAAAAGCAGGGGCAGGTTCCGAGGCCCATCAGCCCCCAGCCCAGCCCCATGCTGGTTAGTCACGGGTGGGCAGAGCAAACAAGGGTCTGAAGATGACAGATGGGGCCAGTTCCAGCTTGTATTTCACCAAAGCAGTAGGGAGGAGACCTCAAATGTCCAGGCCCCAGGGCAGCGCCTGGCCAGGACAGTCACAGCGCCAGCTGCAAATCCCACCTCTGGTCTGAACCTCTGGCCCTCAGAGTCCCTTGGAGGCAGCCCCTCCCCAAGTCTCAGCTTCTTTGTGGCCACAAGACCACAAGGATAAGGGAAGCAGCAGGGTCGAGAGTGGGACATCGGCCACTGGCTGGGTGGCCTCGGTTGACTTACACAGCCTGGGGCTCAGAATTCTCATCGTTAAAGTGGGTCTTTGAGGGACTCCCTGGTGGCGCAAGGGGTTAAGCACAGCACTATGAAGCTATCCACAGCTACTGCAGCAGGACTTTGATCCCCGGCCAGGGAGCTACCCACATGGCGCGGCAGACCTCTCCTGTCTCCCTGCTGCTCCCCTCAGCAGTGTATTTCAGTAGGTCTGCCTGTTCTGCTCCCCACCCTGTCTCTGGTGAATCCTCTCATCCCCTGCACCTCTGGCCTGCACCCCAGCTCTTGTATGCATAAATAAATAAATCTTAAAAAAAAAAATAAAGCGGGTCTTTGGACGCTTGCCTCAGTGCGGGCAGCACTGAATGGAGGGATGGTGAGCTCTGCAGCACGGGGGCTGGGACAGGTGATGCTCCAGGATCATCCTGCCTAGCCTGACTCAGAGGGAGAGGCCCCAGCCCCCAGCCCAGGGAAAGGCCAGGAAATGGGCCCTTTGAAACCTCAGAGCCCGGCCCTCTCAGTCCCGCGGCCACAGAGGGCCATGTGGCCAGAACGAGGAGGGCTCGTAGCCCCTCCGCACGCTGGTCTGCCCACCCACCTTCAGTGGCCACGTCCTCGATGTTGACCTTGTGCTCGTGGGCCATGTAACCGAGGATGGAGAAGATGGCGAAGCCAGAGACGAAGCTGGTGACGCAGTTGATGGTGCTGGTGAGCAGGGCGTCCCTGGGGGGAAGCGGTATTAGTGCCAGCCCCCTGCCCTCCTGGGCCGGCTCATGGACCTGGCACTGTCCATGCAATCGCAGCTCCAGATCCATCCCCCCTCCATCTCCCTGCACCCACAGGGGCCCCGGGGCCCACAGTCACTGGGTCAGTACCTGCAGGTGCAAGAACTAGACCAGCGCCTCTGGCTGAGACACTTGGACACCAGAGCCTGGTGTCACCCTCTTGGGGAACTCACTCATCTCCTTCCTCAACAAGCTCTCTGTGGCTCCCCAGTGCCTCTCCACCTCTCGCCCAGGTGCCTGGGGGTTTGTTAAAACAGCCCAGTCACCCTTCCAGGCTGCTTCGTTGTGGCGCCCAACAGGTGCTCTGAACAAACCAGTCAACCGGCTGCTCCAGAAGGCACCACCTCTGTGCCTTCCCTCACACTGCTCCTGAGTCATGTTCTCAAGGCCGGTCACCCGTTTCCCGGGTCCCCCAGAGCCTGTCCTGCTGGTTGGCATCCACTGATCCCGGGCTCCTAGCGGAGAGCTTGTGACTCTCCACCTCAAGTCGCTGATTGAGTGAAGAATGAGCCCAGTCTGCGCCCAAGGCCGAAGTGGCCCTGAACCCCCAGAGGGGGCAGTCAGTGCCCCCTCCGCCCCCCAAGCTGGACCATAGGCTGCCCCCCGCAGACCTCTCAGCCTGTCCTGCAGGCTGTGACCCTGCCAGGGAGAGACGTGCTGTGCCTGCCAGGGCAGCAGACGGACAGTCGGGCAGTGCTGTCTGCCCTGAGAGCCTCCGAGGGAACTCTGCCCCGCTACCCATCTCTGACTCCCCAGCCCCGCCCTGGCATCTGCTCAAGAGGAATCCTGACTGGGTCCCCAAGTCCATGTCAGGGTTCACAGAACACCCCAAAGGGTCACTTCTGCCTCACTTCACAGAGGGAGAAACCCAAGGTGAAAACCAGCGAAGTCCTTGCTGACCACCCCCTCACCCCGTCCCCCGTCCCAGGGTGGATCCCTAGGATCAAGCGCTTCCCAGAAGCATCTTACCTGTAGCAGTTGTTGTCAAACTTGTTGTAACTGGCAAAGGCAATCAAGACACCAAACCCAGCTCCCAGGGAGAAAAAGATCTGAGTGGCAGCATCAATCCACACCTGAACCGGGCAGACAGAGGCTATCACCCTCCCTCCCTGCAGTGCCGGCCACCTCCCTGCTGCAGGAGGCCCTGGGGCCCAGGGGGTCTGACCAGAGACAGCAGCCATTAACTCCTGCTCCCCAGCAGCTGGTACAAAACAGGGACAGGGTCTCTGGAGCATCCCCCAGCTTGGGATGGCCCTAACAGGGTCACCCCAGAGGAACTCACTGACTCCATCTGATGTCCTGATTTCCAAAGAAAGTTGATAGACTAAAGTTCTGGGCTAGACTGTGGATGGAGTGAGGGCACGGGGCTGGGGCTCCCTAGGGAGTTAGGGAGGCAACATCTTCAGAAGGGGGTGATTCCTAGGAGCATCTACCAGCCTGATGACCCTTGCGGGGCAGTAGGGTTGGCTGATTCCATCTCCTGGGATGGAAGTCCACAGGCAGAAGCCGGGAGATCGGAACACCTGGCCAACAGCTCTGCCTCCTTGTTAGCCCTGGGCCATCTCAGAGACGCCTCCTCAGCTGAATAACGGGGGCCACCAGACTAACAACAGCTGCTCTGTCACCTCCCCACTCGCGTCATTCTAAGCATCCCTTGCTTCACAGGCTGAGGCTATGACACAGCCCTGATGGGAAGGCCTGGGGTGTTCAAGCAGTCACGGAGCAAAGGGAGTTTGGCTTATCCTGCTCCTTCCAAGGCTGATTCCTGTTACTGAGTGACCAAGGAAATAGGGATTTCTCTGAGGTGTGTTGGGGTGTTGGAACTCTGCAGGTGCAGATCAAGCTGTGACCCTCCCAATGTCCTGTTGCTCCTGCCCGCAGGATTAGTGTGGGTTCGGAGTGTAGGAAAATGTTGGGGTGTGGCCTCTCAGATGGGTGGACCCGAGGGAGGAGGAGAGAAATAGCTCAGCTACGACTTGAAGATGCTCAAGGTGCAGGGCCCCTCCGGGATCTCTGCCCCCAGCCTTGCCCCAGTGCTTTGGGCTCCACTCCACATGCACCCCAGCTGCACTGTCACCTGTCCCTGGGCAGGACAGTGAGCCAGAGGAGGCAGGGATGGAGCTGGGAGGGGGAGACAGCAGGGTCTGGGCCTGATGCTGCTCCTAATGCAGACAGTGTGGGGTGGTGGTGAAGGCCCGGTGGGGGAGAGAGAGGAAACAGGGTGGCTAAGATGGCCTTGGGGACCACGGCCCAGGGCAGGGGTAGGGACCCAGGATAGGGTATGGCGCTCCTTGAAAACAGATGGGTCGGGTCTGTGGAGGCCACTAACTGGAACCACAGAGTCCCAGACCCACAGAGCTGGACTGACAGGGACACAGTCAAGGGCAGGTCAAACTGTCCCAGGTCCAATGGAGACATTGCAGCCAGAGAAGGAAGCGGCTGTCCCAGGATGTGCCAGCGTGTGGCAAAGCCAGGACAGGATTTCCCCTCACCGCCCGCCCTGCCCCCAGTCCCAAGGCCGGTGGCCACCAGCACTGACCGTGGCCTCCTTGAGGCGGCGGAAGTCGATGTGCAGGTAGGCACTGATGCCGTCGGCGGCGCCCGGCAGCGTGATGCCGTGGACCAGGAGCACGAACAGCACGAGGTAGGGCAGCGTGGCCGTGATCCACACCACCTGGAGTGGACACGAGCATGAGGGCCTGGCGCTGCTGCCGCCTGGCGGGGGGCCTGAGGGCGGGTCTCTCCAGGGAGCCAGGCTGCACCCTCCTACACAGCGCGCAGGCCACAAGCTCATGTCCAGGTCAGGCCCAGAGCCAGACTCCAGGACTGAGGGAACAGACACAGGCCACACACAGAGCAACTTGGAACTTCATGGGGGATGCTGCCCTGGGGACAGAGCCGCCACGGAACCTGAGGGCCCAAGGACAAAGATGAGGTTCTCATAGCACCCAAGTTTCCTCTACGAGTGGCTTCTTCTGAGCACCTCAAGTTGCCTCACATGTATACTCCCCTCTCCCCGCTCCCTGCCTGTCCTCATTCAGGCCCCTCCCCCAAGCTCATTGCCCAAGCGGGTATGTGACCTGGCAGACAGCAGAGTCTCTGGCCATTTCATCTCAGTGGGGACAGATTTGGGACACAGACTAACTGCCTTGTTCAGAAACACATGGGAAGCGATCAGCCCCAGGTGAAAAAGAGGCACTCCCCCCTTGCCGGTGCGGAGGAACCGAGAAGAAAGGTGGAGGAGGCAGGAAATGTAGGGTGGGGCTCCCGGCTGTTCCTTCTCTGCTTGGCCGAGAACACTCTGGGAAGTTATAGATCAAAACGTCTAAGTTCCGATCCCATTCTCAGAGTTTCTGATTTAATTGGTCCAGGGTGGGGTATAAACTTCAGCTTGCTTTAAAAGCTCCCCAGGGGCTTAGGGGTGTACAAATTATGCAGACAAGGTTCAAAAGTGCTGCTCTAGGCAGATGCAGTCCCAGGCAGCCTGGCAGAAGGAGATCCATGCCCCAAGCAGACAATCCACTCATGACTGCAGTAGCCAGACCCAAAGAAAGCTCAGTGGAAACAGCACAGGACACTGAAGGGCCAGAGCTCCCTCCTCCCAAAGTCCCAGCACAAGGCAGCCCTGGGGGAGCAGGGGCATCCCCCCAGAGAAAATGGAAGCCCTGAAACATGACTGAGGGTGAAGTTCTCTGCTAGCCTACAAAGACTTGAGTTCAAGATAATAACTGAGATGTAGAAAATAGTTGTGTTTTTCCATATCTATGTTGAAGGATTGGGATTTAACCTCCTTGTCTGTCCTTCCCACTAGGCCATGAGCACCTAAAAATCAAGAACCCCATATTTTTCAAGCTTGTTACCCCAGCACATGGCACATAGGTGCTCAAAAAAATGGTTGTTGGATGAATGATTGGGCTGTTGTATACAAGAGGGATTGGATTGTTGGGTGGATGGATGGATGGCTGGATGGCTGGCTGGCTGGCTGGATGGATGGATGGCTGGCTGGGTGGATGGATGCATGAATGGATAATTGAATAGTTAGGGATATAGTTGGGTAGATGGTTAAATGGATAGATGGATGGATGGATGGATGGATGGATGGATGGATGGATGGATGGCTGGCTGGGTGGATGGATGCATGAATGGATAATTGAATAGTTAGGGATATAGTTGGGTAGATGGTTAAATGGATAGATGGATGGATGGATGGATGGATGGATGGATGGATGGATGGATGGGTGGATGGATATATGAATGGATAATTGGATGGTTAGGGATATAGTTGGGTAGATGGTTAAATGGATAGATGGAGGGTTAGGTGGATAAATGGTTGAGTGGATGGATGGATGGATGGATGGATGAGTGTGGTTCAGTGACATCAGAGGTTTAGTAGATAACTAAGGTAAAGAATGAAAGAAGTCATGGGCAAGTGAACTGAAGAGCAATGAGATGCACCAGTGGTTGTTCACGTCTTCTGAATCAGAAGAGAAATCAGGCTCCTCTGTTTCATGTTACCTGGTTGTTCTTCCATCATCCCCTTGCTCTATGGGGGAGTCTTCGCTAATGTGGCCTTTCAGTTTCTGTTTTCATTCAAGAGTGCAAGGACAGGGAAGTAAAATGCCAAGAACTAATGAGGAAAACAAGCCTCAGAAAGTAAAGCCATTGCACCGGGGAGGCCTCTCATTAATCCTAGATTTATTTTCCCAAACTGGCATGAATGGATCTAAGTCCTTGCTGACTGGCACAGGGAGGAGCCCTTACAAGGCCTTGTTGGGTCCTAACTGGCGTGTTCCCCTCCAACTCATGTCAGCAGCTGCAGGCCCATGGCCCAGCCCAGCAGGCTGGGTGAGACCACATTCCACCCTTCAAAAAACAACATCCTGAGGCCTGACTCCAAGGCCGCTCCCATGGGGGTGTAGGCAGCCTCACACTGGCCAGGCCTGAGGCTCCAACATGGATTCAATTTCCCCAAGGACACAACTGAGCTGACCTTGACCTGCAATGGAGCACCAGGAAAGAGGGGCTTGTTTGCACATGAACATGTGTTCAAAGCTAAACCATCTGAATCTTGTCGAAACTTCTCGGAACCGATGGCGGAAGTGAGTTCAGCTGCCTAAGATCTTGTGGGGAAAGGGAGGCTCCTGGGTCCGTGGCCAACAGTTTGCTCATGCTTACGTGTGCCCTGTGTGAGATGGGACACTTGTGCTCTGTCACCTCCACCCCATCCTCCTCTGCTCTCAAGATTTCAACTTGCAACGTGTCTCTGGCCGCCAGATGGTCCATCTGCCAGGACAAGTGCCCCCAAGGAAGGTCACTGCTTTGTATCACCTCGAACCCAAGTTCTTTTCCATCTTGTGTGCTGTGGATATGTTAGGGGGATAGGCTGTCCTGAGCAAACTCCCACTCCAGACCAAATGTAACGAACATATACAATTTACGAGGTAAACTGAAAATATGAAGGTGCCCGCGAGCACTGTGTGTGAGTGAAAGTAGCTGAGGCCACATACAGGGTGTTAAAGACTGATAAAGCCAATCGTGCCTGAGCCTAAACCTGGTAACAAGGTATAAAAGGAGCAGCCACCTGAAGCAGACTCAGAGCAGTCCTAAACACTGGCTCCGAGCAAAGGACTTGCCGGAGGCTACTCTTTTGGAGTCCGGCTAGCTGCCTCCCTTTGGACTCACTCGCTCTCCAGCCGAAACCTCTTCTTGCTCCTCGCTCCTTGCTTTCTCCCTGGTTCGGTGCTCCCCGGTTCGGTGCTCCCGGGTTTGGCACACCTTGAACTGACCTGCACTTCCCCGCTCTGCTTCCTGCAACCCAGAGACCTGCTCCCTGGAGGCCTGCTCCCTAACAGCGGCACAAGTGGCCTATCAGCTCAACATCCTGTGCAACCACCCGCCCTCGAGCCTAGAGATTTCCACGGCCTAAGGACTTCCACTTAGGTGGAAGGCCCGGCTAAGACACGTTGTGGCTACTGTCTTCAGTCAAAGGTACTTTGGGAACTTGGGGTTGGCTTGCCTATATGAACTTACGTGTGTGTGACCAATATAGTGTAAGATATTGAAGGACTAAACATAGCAAGACAGCAGCCATTTTAAGGAAGACAACCATTTTGAAGACCACAGCTGAGCCCAAGTTTCGTTTCAGGGTAAAACCACAAGAACCACAAGGCAAGGGTAAACTTAAAGGGTGCCAAAGAAAAGTATACAATCAGATTGAACTTGGTCCCTCTTGTGAAAGGTCCCCTTTTTCTGATATGAAAGGTCCCCTTTTTCTGCTGTCAACAAGGTATAAAAAACAGCCTGTCACCCTTGAAGGGGTCCTTCTCTCAACCTGATGAGACTGCTGTGTCAGTACACCAGGCAGAGTCGGACCCTAGCTTAAGCTAGCAATAAAGCCTTTTTGCTTTTGCATCTCTGGCTCCGTGTAGTTTTGGGGAACCCCGGACGGAGTTGAGGCGCCAACTCCTAACAATAGGAATAAAATTCTCTTCGAGAGCCAACTTCTGACTGAACCAAAGCCATGAAGACTGGGAACTACAGATCCCATCATCACTGGAGGGAGGGGTGCTGGGACCTGAGGGTGGAGCTAAACAGGCAAGTTTGGTATAAAACCAGACTTGTGGGCCTGGGGGGGGGGTCCTCTTGGCCTCCTGACTCTTTGCCAGCTGTCAGCGTGCCACTGGGATTCCAGGTCAGCGGAAGTGGTAGGATGCACTCACCAATTCATCTCTTCTCTTTCCCCCCGAGTATTCCTTTCTTCATGTCCCCTTCTTTTGTAAATAAACCCTTTATTCACCTTTGTGTGTGAGCCTGCAGTTGAGTCTTATTATAAGTCCCTTTAAGCGCACTGGTGAGGACCCACAGCCAGGCAACCCATTTCATATCGGGGTTGAGCTGTAATAGTTTCTGCCATGGAAGGTCGCAGGCCCGGCTAAAGCCAGGGTGGCCTATACCCGGGGCAGGCCACACACCAGTGGCATCAGCCTTACCTGAAGCTTGTCAGAAATTCTGAAGCTCCACCCACACCTGCTGAGGGCTACTCTCTCCAGGTGATTCTACCTGCATTCAAGGGGAGAAGCCCTGCTGGGGTCTCCCTGGAGAAAATGCCTGGGATGTCACTACAAAATCCATTAATTGACCCTCAAGTGACTTAGAAGTTGTATAGCCGCATTTCACTAATAAAGAAGACACTCTAGGAGGTATGGGCGAGGGGCAAGCGCTGACCTTACTTAAGAATACGAACTGTTAACTTTTAGCATAATCATTTATATGCAAATGTGCTGTTCTCTACAACGGGGTTCCATCCAGGCCCGAAAGCAAGCCCGGACTGGCCTGTGTCAACATAACGTGGAGCAGATGTGGCTGAATTGTGACTTGAAAAAGAAACTAACCACGTTATTTTTCTCCTGGCATCATGCTAGAACTTGCTGGGGTATCATTACTAATGTTGAAAACTAGGCCCCCATTCCTTGCCCAGCAGGGAAGTTTGGGAGGCTTGAATAGATAATGGGAATGGATAAGGTTGCTATGGGAACCAGGCCAGAAGACCCAATCACCTTGACCTTGAAAGCAGGAGCAGGGTCGGGACACATTCGGTGTCAAAGGTCAACACCCAAGACCAGACCTGGCACCCTAAGAAAATCCATGAAAATAGGTTATAAGAGAGCCTCAAATCCCTCATGCTGACCTCTCCTGCCTCTCTCTCAGGGTGTTCCAATCGACCCCCCCCCACCTCCTGGTCTCCCCTGCCTCATAAATTCCTTAACCCCCACACTTCCAGCCTCACTCCGATATTTCTCCCCACTGCAGAACTTGGGTTTTCCTTGAATTGGCCCGACTTTCTCCTTGATCCCAACACCTACGCCAGAATTCTGGAGGTGTCCCATCTTTTCCCCCAAACAGCTCCTAGGTTGGCAGAGGAGCATTCTGGGTTCTATTGTCTTGTCTCCAGGCATAGGGAAGTCTGAGGCCTTTGCAAATTTAGTCCAATGTGCAAACAGGTCAGGTGGAGCCTGACCATCCCCTGCTCCTCACCCCAGAGGAAGAATGTGGCTTGAGGAGAGGGGCACCCCAGAACACCCAGCCACATTCTTAATCGCTCACTCTACTGTGTCTGGAGACCCAGGTTCAAGTTCTTGGGTGCTGAAGACTGCTGGAATCCACTGCCTCTCCACCCTCCGCTGACCCCAAGTGTACGAGCAGTGGTAATAACTTTATCCATTTTCTGAGCTCTGTCTCCCACAGAGGCCCTGCTCCCCATATTCACAAAGGCACGGAGAGGAGAGGCTGGGCCTGGGTGGGGTCACCCTGGGCTTTGCTCAGGCAGTCCTTCTGCTGAAAACCCTTCCTTCTATCCACCTCTGTCTGCAATGACCTGGGCCAAATGCACCTTCTCCTGGTCTCTGCAGCCCCTCTGCTGAAAGGGAATCCCCCCACTAATGCAGAGTCTTGCACTTTTTTGACCGTGACAACTCATGGTTAGAAAACCCTTATGGAGAGACAGAATACATACACACGCGCACGCACACGCACACGCACACACACATGAGTTGCTACAACTGAGCTAAGTTCTATGAGGCAGCTCTCACTTTACTATGCACAAGTCACAGCTATTATCTAGCTTCTCTCATTTAAAAACTTACTGTGGCAACCCACTCAGTGGAGACTGTTGGAAAACCCACAGCTGGTATTTCTATTCAAGTACTACCTGATGTAAAATTATCTCCAAGGTTTGTTTTTTTAAAGCAAGTTTTTATTTTTTTTTTAAGATTTATTTATTTATTTATACAAGCACTGGGTACAGTCAGAAGCTCAGGAGGGTGAGAGAATTCACCAGAGCCAGAGCGGGGAACAGAACAGGCAGACTGATGAAATACACTGCTGAGGGGAGCAGCGGGTGGCAGGATAGGTCTGCGCGCCATATGGGGCCCTCGCCTGTGGCCAGGGATCGAACCGGCGCTGCAGAGGCTGTGGGCAGCTTTGCAGCCCAGCGCTCAACCACTGCGCCACCAGGGGAGGCCCTAAAGCAAGTTTTATAGGGGCCTCCCTGGTGGTGCAAGTGGTTAAGTCTCAGCACTATGAAGCTATCCGCAGCCACTACTGCCCAAGTTTGATCCCCAGACAGGGAGCTACCCACATGGCGCAGCAGACCTCTCCTGTCTCGCCCACTGGTCCCCTCAGCAGTGTATTTCAGTAGATCTGTTCTGCTCCCCACTCTGTCTCTGGTGAATCTTCTCACCCCACCCTACCCCCTGCACCTCTGGCCTGCACCCAGCTCTTGTATGCATAAATTTTAAAAATCTTTAAAAAAAATGCTTGTGATTTCAAGTCACCATATCTTGGGGTGTTTTCTTCACAGCAACAGCTAAGCAAGACTCCACAAAGAACAGTCCTCTGCTGTAGCCTCTTGAACACAGTCAAGCTCCACAGGGACCCCATATTGTTTTCCTCAGCCTGAGACGCAGTGTGGCCAAGACCTGAGGACCAGCCGGCTCTGTCCAGGCCTCCCTAGGCCCGCGGTCCCTGAGCTCCTCTCTCTGGACACCGGGGGGCACTCACCCCAAAGCCCCAGGAGTCATCTACACACCTTCTAGAGACTTCTCTTTTACTCTAAAACTCAGAAGGGAGAACGAAACGACTGTCTTGACAGTGAAGCAAGCGACTGTAGACCAGAGTGAGATTCAGCATTTACAGGACATTTTAACCCAGAAGTCAAGATTTATCAAAGGCGCTTCGAGGGGGCCCTTGGCAGTGGCAGGATTGGGGAGCAAACTCAGGTTTTGCTCTTCCAGTTCTCCTTTTGCTTTTCACCAACGACCTGATCATAATTAGGAAAAAAGTTCTGTTTTACTGTTGAGGCCGATTGAAAGAGAAGCAGAGTTGTTACCTTCCCTGACGTCTTCACTCCTTTCCAGAGGCTAAAGAACAGGATGATGACAACCACCAGCAGGCACAGAGAGAGCTGCCACTGGGGCAGGCCAATGTCATGGATGCCGCTGCTCTCATGGAGATGCAGGACTCCACGCCTGCCAGGAGTGGGGGGGAGGGAGAGGGAGGCGGGAGGGGAAGAAGAGGGGAGAGGTAGGAGCTGGTCAGGGGAGCATGGCTGTAACCACAGGCCAGTCCCCAGAGTGCCCCCAGCCCCGGCTGCCTGGCCCCAGCCTGCATTTTCTGGGCCTGCTGTGCACGGCCCAGGTCTGTGCCCAGGACGCCCCACCCTGGAAACAGCAAGTCACCTTGGGGCGCCTGACCTCAAGGCTGTTTTCTAAACAACAACAAAAATGTTCAACATTACAAAAATCTCCTGAGTGCTGCCTGCCTGCTGGTCCTGGGGAGACAGTGGCAAAGAATAGAAAGGGGCCTCCCTGGTAGCCTAGGGGTTAAGTCTCAGCACTGTTACCCCTAGACCTGAGTTCCCTGAGTTGGATCTCATGTCAGGAAGGTGACCCACATGGCACAGCAGACCTGTCTCCCTGCTGCTCCCCTCAGCAGTGTATTTCAGTCAGTCTGCTCCCCATTCTGCTCCTCACTCTGGTGAATCCTCTCACCTGCCCCTGCTCCTCTGGCCTGTACCCCAGTTCTTCCTCCAGGGCCTCCATCTTCCCCACTTCAATGCTGGCCGCTACCTCCACTTGGGCCCCTGAGCTCCACTGTCTGTACCACCTTAGAACTGTCTGAAGTGTCCTTCAGACCTGGCCCCTCTCCTGCCTCCAAATCCTCAGAGGCTCCACATCACTAAGATGGTGGTTCCCCGGGGGCAGGGGCGACCTGGAGACATTTCTGGTTGCCACATCTGGAGGGGAGGGTGCTGCTGGCATCGTGTGAGCAGGGGCCAGAGATGAGGCTGAACATGCCAGAGGCACGGGATAGCCCTCCCCAGCAGAGCGTGAGCCAGCCCCAAATGTCAGAAGGGGCGTGGTGGTGAAATCCTGCTCTGATTACAAAAATGTAATCAGAATCTGCGGCTTTCACAATCTTACTGCACCAAGCTCACCCCCTGCTTCTCCCACATGGCTAGCCCGGCCCTCAGCATTCCCAGTGGGGCCCTCTCGTTGAGCTGAACTTTGCACTTTCTGTTCCTTCTGCCTACAACACCCTTCCCTGCCCGGTTTGTCGGCGGCGAGGAAGATGTCTTCTCCCCCTGCTGCTCTCAACTGAAGGCAGATGCCCTGGCCCAGGTGCCCCTCCTGTGCCTTAGAGATGATGAGGGCAGGGCCCGGGCCTCTCCGAAAGGAGAGGGAACCAGATCAGGAACTGAGCGCACGTGATCCTTAATTCTGCTCCTTCCTTGGTTTGGGGGCCAAATGTTGAACGATGTCAACCAGTTGGCCAATTTCACGACTACAGTCATGAAGGAAATAAAAGGCACTGAGCCAACCGCACTTGCCCTGAAACTTGCTAAAATGCCTCCCGCGTCCAGCGTCCCATCCGATGACCGAAACGCCCCCCAACGGGCCGGTGGCCCCAGGCACGTGGCCTCCACTTCCAGGGCGGGGTGCACGGGGAGCTGAAGCGATGGCATCCCTGAAGGGCTCCACCTCCCAAGTCGGTGGAATTCCAGCCCAGCCTCCCCGCAACAGCCCAAGCCGCGGGGGCCGGTACAAGAAACTTGGGCCGCTATCGTGTTCCAGCAGTTTGAGGAAAATGAAAATGAATCGTCATCAGGTCTACGGTCCAGGCTTTCCGAGGTGTGTGGGCCAAGCGGGCTCCGCTTCTCCCTTGACATTTGCGCACAGAGGGCTAGTGGTGGGTGGAGGGGGGTTCTCTTCCTCAGCGGGCACAGGCTGGGGTGGGGGAGAAGTTTTCTGTCTGGCACATGTTCACCCAGGATGCCCTTTGACAGATAAAGTTACAGAGAGAGCATGGGGTTTCTTTCAGCCGCTGGCTGTTTGGCTTCAGGCCCAGCGCTGGGGAGAAGAGCGGTTTTGTTCCCTGGAATGATATGTTCACTCCAGCCATTTAAATCAGTACAAGATGGTAACAAAATTGCCTGGCAGGCTCCAGGGACAAAGAAAACCACCCAGCCTCCCCAGGTGGGCATCCGGAGTCCTACTTGTCGGGTCCTCAGGCTGAGGTTCTGCTTTTTTTTTTTTTTTAAAGATTTATTTATTTATGCACACAAGAACTGGGGTACAGGCCAGAGTTGCGGAGGGTGAGAAGCTTCACCAGAGACAGTGGGGAGCAGAACAGGCAGATCACTGAACTACACTGCTGAGGGGAGCAGCAGGGAGACGGGAGAGGTCTGTGGCGCCATATGAGGCTCTGTTTTAAAGCAGAAACATTTGGATAAAAGGGCTGTGGGTCATTAAAAAAATAAATTCAGGGGCAGTTCATGACGTAGAAGCTCACAAAAGCAGCTCCAGGCGAGAAAGATGGTGGGGAAGGACTTGAGCAGGATGCCTGCCTGTCTGTCCCAGGACGCCTTGCTGGGGGCCTACGGGGGTGGGCGAGGGGGGTGTGAGGGGGTGTGGTGGGGAGGGAGGAGAAAGTCAGGAGTGGTGCTGTCCATTGGGTCAGAGCCTGGAGTCAGAGATCCTGGGTTCAGACCCCGGCTCTGCCACTTTCCTAGAATCTGAGTCTCCACGTTCCTGTCTATAAAATGGGGATCATTTGCAGCTCCATGAACTGTGAAGACTGAATGGATGTGAAGGGTGCTCAGGCCCTGCCTCTTGGGAGCTATGAAGCTTGAGGGGGGTAAGAAGGGAGGGGAATGGGTTCTTATGTGGCAGAAAGTTGCAGAAATAAGCCATGGATTCTACTTCTTGCTATAAGGCCCCAACCCCCTTCAGCTCAGTGCATTAGAATGCCATCTTCTTCCACATTCTGTTCACAAATAAGCCTGGAGAAAGTTGAGGGTGTAATTAAAATAGCCAGGATCTCACAATTCAACATACCTCTCCCTCTTGATGGGAGTCTCTGCTGGGACAGACCTGGCCATGAAGACGTCAGAGGAGGAATCAAATAAAAACTAGACTAGAGACAGGCTATCATTTTCCATTTTCATTTATAAGGACAAAGACTGCCCAGAGCAAATAGAAAAATCAAGCTTTTTCCTTCATGTGATTATAAAAGGAAGAGCATAGAACCAATTACTTGTATCTATAGCACCTCTGCCCACCTCTTTCCTGTCTCACAGTCCGGACCACATGCAGAAAGCAGGAAGCCAAAAATCTCCACCTAAAGCCCTTGAAAGGTTCTGGGGCTTCTTGAGACCACACTCCTGGGAAGAGCACAGGCAGCCCTTGGGGATCTCAGCCTGACACCAGCAGGGCTCTCTCTGTGTGTGAGACAGGAGTGTGCCCCAGACGCTCCACCCAGCTGGAAAGAGAACCACCCGAGGTGCTGCTAATGAGGATCCCCCTGACCTGGCCACACCCAGACCTATAAAGTCAGAATTTCAGAGCACCAGGCCCAGGCTGCCAAGTGTTTTAAAACTCTCGAGGTGATTCTAACACACCTCCAACATTTAGAATCACTTGGCAAAGAGCTTGGGATTTGGAGCCATACGCCTGGGTTCAAACCTACTTCAATGGCTACTTCTTTTTTTTTTCTTTTTTTTTTTTAATAGAGGCATGTTTTATTTATTTATTTGTTTGTTTGTTTGTTTATACATGCACTGGGTACAGTCAGAAGTGCGGGAGGGTGAGAGAATTCACCAGAGCCAGAGCGGGGAGCAGAGCAGGCAGAAGGACCGAAGTACACTGCTGAGGGGAGCAGCGGGCGGCAGGAGAGGTCTGCGCGCCATGTGGGACCCTCCTCCGGTGGCCGGGGAGCAGCCGGGGATCGAACCGGCGCCGCAGAGGCCGCGGGCAGCTTCGCAACCCAGCGCTCAACCGCTGCGCCACCGGGGAGGCCCATCAATGGCTACTTCTAAACTGCACAACCTTGGACAAGTCAATTTTTGCCATGCTGGTTCCTCATGAATAAAATAAGAATAGTTTTAGATTACAGTGATCAGGATTAAAAGAGAGGATAGGACATTGCAGCACTATTTACAACAGCCCAGATGTGGAAACAACCCAAGCACTCTGAGACAGATGAATGGATCAAAAAGTTGTGATATAGTTACACAATGGAATATTACTCAGCCATCAAAAAGACAAGCCCATGCCATTTGCAGCAATGTGGATGGAGCTGGAAGAGTTTATGCTAACCTAAATAAGTCAGAGGAAAAAGATAAATATCGGATGGTTTCACTTACATGCGGAATACAGAGAAACTGAACAAAAGGTCAAGACAAAACCAAAACTATGGAGCTGACCATAGATCTGAGGCATCCAGCAAGGGATGGGGAGGGAGGGGAGTCAAAACGGGAGAGAAGAGCCCAAGGGAATATGGTGATGGATCACGGGTGATAGGAAAGGCTTTTTACACAATGCCTGGGATCTAATCTCAGCTGGATAAGCATTTGTGATGACTGTGACAATATTTCTGAATAATAACAGCCCTTCAGAATACTACAATCCAGTAGAACACACAAATGAAGACAGCAGGCTCTGGGGGGTTCGTAGTCTGGCAAGGCTGGGGTTAGGGTAAGGAGTGAGGCTCCAAGGATGCAAAATGTAAAGAGATGCTCATACTCAGCCAGCTGCCTGGCTCCAAATCCTGGCTCTGTAGAGAACCAGTTACGTGGCCTGGTCAGCGACTTCCTGTCCCGTCTGCAAAATGAAGCTATTATTTAGCCTCCTCGTGTGTGTGCATGAGGGTGAATTGCAGAGACTTCATCTGGTAGGTGTGAGGTGTAAATCAAGACAATGCATACAGAAAATCTAGCACAAAGCCTCACACGGTGAGTGATTAGGGCTAGTGTGTAGGAACAGGGGTGATGCTATTTCTTCAACATGGCTCGCTGTGAGTGACGGCAGCGTTTCAGATCTTTGGGGCTAAAGATGTAGTTAGAATTCAATGACAGTGGGGCCTCCTGGGTGCCACAAGAGGTTAAGTCTCAGCCCTATGAAGCTATCCCCAGCCACTGCAGCACAAGTTCAATCCCCAGCCAGGGAGCTGACGCACATGGCACCACAGACCTCTCCTGTCTCCCTGCTGCTCCCCTCAGCAGTGTATTTCAGTGGATCCACCTGTTCTGCTCCCCACTCTGTCTCTGGTGGATCTTCTCACCCCCTGCACCTCTGGACAGTACCCCAGTTCTTGTGTGTATAAATAAATAAATCTTAAAAAAAAAATCTTCTCAGAATTCAATGACAGCTATGGGCCCTCTGCCAAAATATCCTTTCCTGCCTGCCCCCTTCCACCCCCATAATTGTGTGGTGCCTGCTGGAAGTCTGCAGGCAGGTGGATATGCAAGTCCAGGACCCTCAGCGGTTCTCAGCAATGGCTGACTGAAGGTAGTTCCTGATAGCCCTGATTCCCCTGAGCCCCAGAAGGCAGCAGACTTTCCAGGAGCCATTTTGAACCAAACTGGATAACCTTGGCCCTGTTGCACCAAGATGATGGTCCCAAGTAACCCAAGCCTAATCAGACTCATTCCTGAGATTTTGGCTCAGGGAGTAGCACACAGAGCAAAAGAGATTGATTGACCTTGACATTTTGCTGTTTGCGAATTTGTCTTTTCTTATCCTTGAGACTTGCCCTGTCCAGCCTGGTAGCCACTGGCCGCACATGGCTGTTTAAAGGTAAATTCACCAAGACTGGATAAAATGCAAAATCCACCTCTTCGGTCACTCTGGCGGCATTTCGACTGCGGAGCACCTCTCTGGCGAGTGGCCACTGTGTTGGATTGTGAAAGTGAGCGCCTCACTCCTTACCCGAACCCTGTCCTTGCCAGTGAGCCCCCCCCCCAGAGCCTGCTGTCTTCATCCGTGTGTTCTACTGGAAGGTGATATTCTGAAGAGCTGTTATTATTCAGAAATACTGTCATAGTCTTCACAAATATTTATCCAGCTAAGATTAGGCCCCAGGCATTATGCAAAGAATCTTTCTCTCCTCTCTTTTAACTTGACCACTGTGGTCTAAAACCATTCTTTTAGTTTAATTTAATTTATTTATTATTGCATAGAAGAACTGGGGTGCAGGCCAGATGTGTGGGGGGTGAGAGGATTCACCAGAGACAGAGTGGGAAATAGAACAGGCAGAAGGATTGAAATACACTGCTGAGGGGAGCATCGGGGGAGACAGGAGAGGTCTGCTGCACCATATGTGGGTTAATTTGCTGGCCCAGATGCGAACTCAGGCCCTGGAGGTGGGCTGTTGTGGTAGCAGCGCTGAGACTTAACCCCTAAGCCACCAGGGAGGCCCTGAAACTATTCTTATTTTAGAACAGGGAAACCTGCATGGCTGGAAAAGTGACTATTTCTATCATCGCAGAAAGGCTTCTGGGCAGTGCTTTTCGAGGTCAAGAGTCGGCAAACCATGGCCCCCCAAGGCCAAAGCCAGGCTCTGGTCTGAATGGCCTGTGAGCAATAAACGTTTTTATCTTTTTTTAAGATTTATTTATTTATGCATACAAGAGCTGGGGTACAGGCCAGAGGTGTGGGAGGGGAGAGGATTCACAGAGACAGAGTGGGGAGCAGAACAGGCAGACTGACTGAAGCACACTGCTGAGGGGAGACAGGAGGGGTCTGCTGCGCCATGTGGGCCAGCTCCCTGGCCGGGGATGGAACTCATGCTGCAGTGGCTGCAGATCGCTTCATAGCGCTGCGTCTTAATCCCTTGCGCCACCAGGGAGGCCCCCGTTTTTATCTTTTTAAAGAATAAAAGAAACCAAAGAAGAATATACAATAGAGACACAAAGGCCCACTGAGTCCAAAGTGCTTCCTATTTGGTGCTTTGCAGAAGAGTCAGCCACCCCGACTCCGGTCTGCATATCCTGAGGATGGAGTCCAGTGGGGTCTTCTGCCACATTCTAACCTGTACCTGGCTAACACAGGCCTCACCCCCACCTGAGGGAGAGAGACAACAGATGTGACTCTCTAAGAGACCACCATCTGCACACTTCAATTCAAGCGAATGGAAACAAGTTATCATTGCCCGCCTCGAGGACGTGAAGGGATGGAGGGCACGCTGACCACCCGCCGGGGGTCATGATGAAACCATGAAAAACCACAGCATAAAATAAATGCCCATGAGCCCCTACTGACAAAAAAGGAGGGGCCTCCCTGGTGGTGCCAGGGGTTAAGTCTCAGCTCTGTGAAGCTGTCTGCAGCCTCTGCAGCACAAGTTCAATCCCCGGCCAGGGAGATACTCACATGGCGCAGCAGACCTCCCCTGTCTCGCCTGCTGCTCCCCTCAGCAGTGTATTTCGGTAGATCTTCCTGTTCTGCTCCCCATTCTGTCTCTGGTGAATCCTCTCACCCCCCAAACTTCTGGCCTGCACCCCAGCTCTTGTATGCATACATAAATAAATCTTAAAAAAAGAAGACGCACTGAAGGGAAGGTGAGGGCACATTCTACTCATGCAACTTTTCTGTGTCTAAAGTGATTTCAACACGAAAAGTGTCTTTAAAAAATAGCTGTTAATCCTCCACCAGCAGTCAAGACCTCTCACATACACAGTCTAGAGAATCTCTGTGTGCTGAGCCTGCCTCCCGCTGCCTGAATCTCACTGACAAGCTCTGAGAGAAGCTTCCAGATCACATGGACTTGGGTCCAAGTCACAGCTTCGTCACCTGTCGGCTGAGCCCCTAGATACTGCCCTGACCTACCTCCTCCATTATATCCTCCTCAGAGAGGCCCTCCTGGACTACCTGAGCTAAAATTCCTCACCCTCCACATCCCTGGTTTTAGTTCCCTGGATGCACTTACACTTCCCAGTTTGTTTTTTTTCCTGAAGGCTGCAGCCACCACTCTGGAACTTTCCTGCTTCCTAGCCTGTTTGCCAGTGTGCCCGCCCCACTGCCTGGCACCACGGCAGCAGCTCCTCTAGCTGCCTTGTACACTGTGGCTGCACCCGTGTTTCCTGGCCTGGGGACAGGCCTGGCCCGGGTGTTTGGCAAACATCACAAACCACAACTGGTGTCCCCTCCTCTTGCGGTCACTGTTTGCTCACACCCCGCCCAGCCCAGTTCTCCATGTGCCCATGGGAACAGGATGGTGTGGACGACTTACTCATAAAACTCTGCTGCCGGGGTGAACTTGTACTTGGAGTACTTGGTGTGGTTGCCCAGCACGGAGCTGTTGAGGAGCTTGGGATCGGTGCAGTTGGGGCTGTTCCAGGCGTGGCCACAGTCGGTCCAGGGCAGGTTGAAGGTAAAGGAGGAGAAGAGGTAGTACAGTGACCAAGCGATGATGACGTTGTAGTAGAAGCCAACGTAGATGGCAATGAGGATCACAGCATAGCCAACTCCTGGGAGGGGAGGCAGCAGGGGTCAGGTAGGAGTTTCCCCGGCCCAGCTCCAGAACCACCTCTCCTGGGAGCTCGCTCCAGCCACTGCGGTACCCTATGTCTTGCTGTCTCCATAGCAGACTGTCAGGGCCTCACCTGCACCCCTAGGAACCGCCACCAGCCCTCTGCCTAAGAACTCCCTCTTGCCACCGAGACAGCTCAGAGGTACCAGGACCCTCATCCTCCAGGGAGAGCTGGGTCCGGCATTGGAGTGTCAGAGTCCCTGCTCCCTCGCGCCCGGCCAGGATAACACCAAGGTGCTCACATTGCTCCCAGCAGGATCAAGCCCCTCGTTTAGGGTGGAACTGGCTCAGTAGCTGCCTCCCCTTGCATATCCCCCATTGGAGCTTCCTGGGATCACTTCCAAAATAGCTCTTCCCATTTAAATCCTCCAGCTTCAGAAGAATCCCAAGCAAGTGCTCCCATCAGAACGTCACCTGTGTGTGTTCTCTGAGTCTGATTTTTAGTCCCCTGCTTCGTGCACCAATCTCATCTCCCTCAATGTATCAGAAGTTCCTTTAAGGCAAGTTATATGGCTTTGGCCTAAAGTAGACACATTATTTTTCCCTTGCCCAGTATCACTTTAAGGGAGTAGCTTTATTTTTAATTTAACTTAATTTTTTTCACATATTAAAAGGACAGGTTTATTAGGAAAAAGAGAAAGAAAAAGAGAGACACCTTCATAATCACAGGCAGATAGAAGGGCTGTTAAGGGAGTAGCTGTCAACATTTGTGGCCTTGAGGTTTCCATGAAATTAGTCACCCACTGCATGTAAACATATGACTCGGGCCTGGGTAATCAGAGCTCTGCTTCCCCACAGTGGCTGGCTGACAGATGCAAATATAACTCAAGCCAAACCAATGAGAATATTCTCTGGGCCTTTAATGAATTTATGAAGAAATAAATGTTTTTGTTTTGTTTTATCACTATTAATCTTGGAAGGATTTATCTTGCTGTGGACAATCAGCTCTGCTAGCCCCTGCGAAAAATATGCCTAGACTGATGCTAGAGTTGAAGAAAACAGACTCGACACGGAGTGTGATTGAAATTGATTCCAGATAACACAATTCAAGCACCTGGATCAAGCTGTACCTGAAGCTAGAAACTCCAGGACTTTACTGTATCATAAACCAATAAATTCTCTTTTATATTAAAACCTCTTTGAGTGAATTGATGGAAATTACCCCCCCCCCAATCCTAAGTAATACACGTCTTAAAAGGCCCTTGTGCCAGCCTCTATCTATCACAAGACTGAACACACAGGAGGTACTCAGGGGACATGTGCCAGCTGCGAAGTCATGGCCCTTACTGCCACCTGGGCCCAGTACTCTCACCAGTGCCTGGGAGATACTAATTCTTACTCTATGCCCTTCTTACATCTGTGCGGGGCCAAGAAATAGTGGTCCCTATGACCAGTTTCTCCAGAGATACGCTAAGTCCTGAATGCACACAGGCTTCACCTTGTATCCCACAACTTATAATCAAGTTGTGGTTGTTGTGTTAAAGACTGCAAGGCTGCACTGAAAAGCTCTATGATTGATTTATCATGTCTGCCGTGGGGGCGAGTGGGGTCAATAGTACTATGAGCGCTGGGGACTGCAGACACGCCTGTATTTCCCACACAGGAAATCAGGCTCCCTCTGGTCACTCACGCTGGTAGAGCCTGGATGGAAATCCAGTCTTTTTAGGCTGGTGGGTTATTTACACACCAAAGCTCTACCTGTACCTGAACTCCGGACACCGTTGACCTTGTCAATACCTGTGAATCCCACAAGCGAGTCGATGGACATCAGATCCCACCTTTGGAGCAGACTCTTTGAGAGGACCACAGAAGATTTCTGAACAAACTGAATCCCCCAAAGCTGTGTCTTACCTTTGAAAAACGGGCAGATCTTCCAGACGGTGGCTGCACCTTCCCGGTTATACTGGCCCAGAGCCAGCTCCATGTAGAACAGGGGCATCCCCGCGATGATGAGGAACAGGGTGTATGGGATCAGGAAGGCACCTGGAGGACAAGAGGCAGGTGACCCCCGAGGTACCAGCCCACCTGTGACCTGCCCTCAGAGGTTGCCTGTTCCCCACCGTTTCTCAAGGGGTGTGTCGTGGTAGGCACATGCAGTTACCCAGAGCAATTAACACAACTCATCACAACAGCAAGAACATTAGTTAGCATAGGAGTGATCATAATTACAACAGAGGTCCTGATGTCAAATTAGTAAATCAAAGCTAACTAGGCCCGTTTCTTGCAGGACTCCCCCGGACTTTGATACACAGGCACACAATGTGAGCGCCAGCAGGAAGGTAAAGTCTTTACCACGACTATTTAAACACAGCATGTCTTCTTTCATGGATTATCATTGGACAATGCCGATCACCGCAAACCCTTCCTTTTACTGGTAAGAACACTGAGACGAGAGAAAGAGAACAGTGTCTGAGGTTACATATGACCGAGCTGCTAATTTTGCTCACATTGATATTATCCTAAAGTCATGTGGGGCTTTTCCTAGTGTGCTCTCGCTGCATTGTTCTCCCTACAGCTCACGGATATAATAAGCGGACAGGGTCAGAGGGCAGAGAAGAGTGTTGAATTGTTGCTGTTTGCACAGCAGCAAGGTTTGCATTCAGGTCTTCCAACCTGGGGCTTGCTCTGTTACAAGCTCTGCAGGTAAACAGGCATGCAGCAGAGAGGCCATGGCTCCAGTCCCTGGCCAGGGAAGGTGCCCACGGGAGCACCAATCCCTGTGAGAAACCCTGGTGGAACTGGACGTCAGAGTTCCAGAGACACTTCCCGTAGGCCCTGGCGCCCCAGGTGTGCTTAGTGAGCTCTGACGCTCCCGGTGACTCACAGGGAGGCATGCCACTGCGGCCCGGCAGCGTGAACAAAGCAAAATGCCAGCACCTTCTCCTGACGCAGGTGGAGGTGGTCAAGCCAGAGGCACATTCCTCCTGCCATTGGCTTTTGGCTGAGATGCTGTAACCTTGGAGATCAAACACTGAGACCCACACACAGCAGTAGTGGAAACCAGTCACTACTTGATGATGGGGACCTTAAGAATATATGATCCCTGCCGTGGTCCAGGGGCTTGCCAGGCAATGTCTCCTCCAATCTGCACAGTGACCCTAAAATGCAAAGACCATGACCATCTCTATTTTACAGATGCAGAAATAGGGGTTCCCAGTCAATGGACAACTGTGGCGGTCACACAACACCCAGGGTCAAACTCACCCTGCTACTCAGACAGTCAGTCTCCGTTTTCTCCCTGGGTTTCTAAGGGCCCAGGGTTCTTAGGGACGAAGCATGATGGCAACACCCAGCCCCTTTGGTAGCAGGAGAGGGATCAGCAGGTGCAGCCGGAAATGCTGAGCACTGCCATGTGTCCAGCTGGGTGCTGGCCCCTCCAATGGGTTGGAGGTGAGACAAGTCAGGCCAAAGTAAGACACTGTTAATGGCCTTTGTTGTTCTTCCCTTTTGCTGTAAAAAGAACATCAAGTCCATCAAGTCGCCATGCTGGATCCGTGATTCCATGTACCCTCCCAGAATCAGCGGAGGTAGCAACTGCTACCCCCATTTTCCAGAGAAGGAAACTGAGGCTGGAAGAAGTTAAGTGACCTGATCAAGCTCACTTAGCTTCTATGTGATTGATCCGGGATCTGGGCCCATATCTGCCTGGCTCCAGAGCTCTGGGGACATTTCCAACATACCCTGCAGGTTCTAGAACATTCCAACCCAGGTGGAAGACACAAGTTCGAACAGGGTCTTGTGAGGAAGGGTGTTCTAGGGCTGGGGTTCGGGTGCCAGCTGAGCCACCTGGTCTGTTGGTCTCGCTCCAGCCTGGCTCCAGGCTGGACTTCTTGGAAATGGCTCGTGCCAAACCCCCACTTCCCCTCCTCATTGCTTGTTTTCCATCTCTACCCTTGCCCCTCACCCACAGAGCGAGATCAGCTCTGGCACTGAGCCCACATCCACCCAGAGTGCTACGAAAATAGCAATAATGGTGCTGACAAAATGTCGAGGGTCATGGTGGGGCTGGAGGGGCAGCGAGTACCACTTAATGGACATCTGTTATATGCCAACCCCACACTGAGTTTTTACACAAATTCTCATTGAAGACCATGCTCGCCAGATAATCACCACTGACCCCATTTAACAGATGAGGAAACTGAGGCTCAGCAAAGCCAAGCTGCTTGTCCAAACTAGCACAGATGCAACTTGGCTTCAACCTGGATGTCCGGGGTCCTCTCTGCTCTGAAGCCCCCTGCGACTCCTCGGGAGTTGGTGGGGGGCTGGCTGGAGCCACACAGCAGGGGAGACAGTTGGCTTCCTCTGTTTCATAGGCCTGAAGGCTGAAGTCAGTGGCCCAGGGGACCATGGGGAAGGCAAAAGCTGGCGTCACGGAGAAGACTTTGGCACAGTGACTTGCTGTTCTTTTTACAACAAAAGGGAAGAACAACAAGGGCCAATTAACAGTGACTTTGGTCTGAGTGTTCTTACCTCTAGCCCATTGCCAATAGGGAGGGAAAAGGTCCAGTTTGAGATTCATGGGCGCTTGTGCCACCAGGGAGTCCTAGCAAAGGGAGGAGGGGGGTGAGGACAGGTCTGCACAGGTCTAGGCCTTCTCCGAGGGCACCAGGTGTAGCGCAGCCAGCGCCACAGGTGGAAACAGGAGAACACGCAGTGTCGGTGTTGCACGGGGACGAAACTAGAAAGCAGCTCACAGCCTGGGGTCGCTCTCCAAGAGGACATCCACCAGCAAGCCAGCCCAGGGCCCACCCAGCACAGTCTGGAGCAACCCAGGGCCGGGCCAGAGTCGGACGCGCCTCCAGAGGAAAGAGATGCCTGGTCTTGCTCTGCTCCTGACACACGGCTCCTATACCCGTGTCCTTCCTGAGTGAAAGGAGCTTTTTAAAATATTTATTTATTTATGCATACAAGAGCTTGGGTGCAGGCCACAGGTGTGTGTTGGGGGTGGGTGGGTGAGAGGATTCACCAGATCCTTGGCCAGGGAGCTGCCCACAGGGCACAGCAGACCTCTCCTTTCTCACCCGCTGCTCCCCTCAGCAGTGTATTTCGTCAGTCTGCCTGTTCTGTTCCCCACTGTGTCTCTGGTGAATCCTCTTACCCCCCCACCTCTGGCCTGTACCCCAGTTCTTGCATGTATAAATAAATCAATCTTTTAAAAAAAGGAAGTGGGGGCCTCCCCTGGTGGCGCAGCGGTTGAACGCTGGGTTGCGAGGCTGCCCGCAGCCTCTGCAGCGCCAGTTTGATCCCCGGCCACCGGCGAGGGTCCCACAAAGGAAAAAAAAAAAAAAAAGGAAGTGGGCCCGCAGATACCTGCTGGTGTCTGCTCCATGTGGGGAAAATCCCACGCAGTTGGGGTCACACGCGTGTAGTCTGCATACAAAATCAGGGTTTTCCTGTTACTCCTTTGTGGGATCTAGAGACCTGGGCCCCCAGCCCTGCTGTTTGTGTCCCGGTACCTTGAGGAAATGGGGCTTCTCTGAGTAAGCGGGTTAATCACCTATGAGGCTAATAAACCCGCAGCACTGGTTTGCTGCGCTAATGATGGAGGGAAGTCGCGGGCACTCATGGGCTCTAGGTGGGAGCCGTGACCTGCCATCACAGGGGACAGCCCGGCAACCTTCCTATACTGGAAGCCGCTGGTGTAATGGAGGGTGGCAGGGTGCTTGGGGGGCAGAGGCAGATGGCAGGTTGGAGGGTCCCTTGGGGCCCTCGTGACCCTGAGCCCAGGGGACTGGCTACTCCCCTGGTGTCCAAAGTAAGGTGCTGACCACCAGTCTGCACCAGCATTCCCACTGGCCACAGCAAGCCTCAAGCCCAAAAGGACTCTTGCAGTGCTGTCTGGGGCGGGGGGTCCCGTTTAGAGGGAGCAACTGGACTCTCACTCTTCAGCTAAACCCTCAGCTGGGAGAGCTGTCTTGCTCAAGGCGTGCCCCCAACCAGGGCAGCTGGCATCCAGTAACCAACCGGCTCCCAGCATGCAGTGCTGGCCCCTCACCCTAACTCAGGGCAGTCTGGAGGGTCACGCCAGCTTAGGGGTGCCCAGGGTCAGCAGAGGCTTTGCCGGGCCTGGCAGCCCAGCCTCTGCATCTGGCCAGCACTGCTGCCACTCTCCCCGCTGTCCTTCAGAACCAGACACAAGCCATTCTTTGTGTCCTGGGTGTCAGATATGGGGTCCCCTTCCAGTCCCTGGCAGCTAAACAGCTGCTACCTGTGGCCGTTTCTGCAGGGTGGCCTCAGGTTCCTGCACCCAGCTCAAGCTGTTGAGACTGCGGGGTTGGGGCCACAGCTGAGCTACGGGGTGCAACTGGTGTATCCTCCCGGCCCTCAGCGACCACTGGTCTCGGGGTCCCTGCCACCTGCCCGCTTCGTGCCATCCCCTGCACTTCAATGAGGTCAGTTGGAAGCCTCTAGACACACCTCTGCAGAAGTTCCTGGTCCTGCAAGAGGGAATTTTCCACAAAATAATGAAATTAGTTTTTTCTTTTCTTTTTTCTTTGGCTCCACAAGGGGTGGCTCCCTCACCTCACTCTGGGTCTTCCAGTTGAACTTTGGGCCTCAGCCCTGAGACCCCACTCGTCTAAGAGGACACTGGAGATGGAATTCAGGGAAATTCATGTTGGGGTTACCCCTTTCCAGGTGGTACTTCTCCTTCTGCTGTCAACTTGGCAGGGTCTGGACTTCATTGCTATTAGAGAAGCTGGGGCTCCTGACTTCCCACCTCCTTCACCCTCTTTAAAAGGAACAAATGAGAAGGCGTTTGGGTTGCTCAGAACTACATTACAGAGGGTAACATGACCCACAAAGAACAGAGCAGGACTTCACCCCCTTCATTTGGGCAATAAGACCTCCAATAATAGGACCAAAAATGACATCACTTCTAGGATGTCACTCCCTAAAAGCTCATCTCCATATTCCTGGTTTATGTCTGCGTAGTCATAAAAGTTTTTGGTTAAATAAATAGTTCTCAGCAGTGACTCACATGAAGGATGGAGCTAATGGAAGTCCTGGGGCGTTTCTCCACTTGTGTTGTGGACTAATGTTTACGTAGGCATTTGGGCTTGGGACCACAGGGCAGGATGTAACATTTAGACCTATGAAACCCCATCTGGTGGTATCAGCAATTCTAGATCTTTTGGTCTAGCTCAAAGCAAGGGGTCAAACCATGCTGGTGACCCCAGATTCAGATCTCATCTCCAGCCCAGGTGAGAACTTCATTCTTGCAAACTGGTCAGAGGCCATTCCAGCTGGCTGGCTCCTGTGCATCTGAACCAAACAGCCAGTGTCAGATGTGGCAACTTCAGGACACAGACAGCCCCCAAAGCCGGGTCAAATAGAAGGACACTGAGTTTGCAAACTCCTGTCCTCTGCACCAGCCACCAACTTACACCTGGCTTCCAGAATCCCAGATATTTTGATCAAGAGTGTTCCTAAAGGGCCGTGAGGACCCAAGTTCCTGAGCTTGCTTGGGGAAGAATGGAAACTGCATTAGGGACCAGAATCACATAGCTCAGAGAACTCTCCTGGGCCCCCACGTAGGAATGTTAATCTCTGTTTTCCAGATGAAGAAACACCAGTGGGACAAGGCTGGCCATCAGAATGTGGAGCAAAGCCCAGACCTTGAGTCCTGAGTTCTCTGGCCCAAGCGTGACTACCTCCTGGCCTTATTCTCCTTCATCAATTTCCTCTTAAAATCAACTCTGCTCCCTCCAAAATCAGGGCTGCAGCCAATTCCTGGGTCTAGGCTATAACTAAAGTCAATAACAATCATAGTAGTAGCTCCATTTATTGAGCACCTACTATGTGCCAGATGCTATTTTTGAGTACTCTGCTTATGCTCTCTAAGGCATCTCCCTGCAGGAAGGAGGAATTTTCTTATTTTCCTTTTCTGCACAAGGAAACAGAGGCCCAGAGAGGGTGAGCGACTTGCCCAAGGCTGCATTTCCAGGAAACGTCAGACTGAGACTCACACCTGTCTGAACCTAGAGGCCATGTAACTCTGACAGCACCACCGCCCGCTGGACAGGTCTCAAACAGAAGCAGCCATCCTCAGGGGGTCAGTCATGGAGGCCTCTTCCGTGGCAGGAAGCTGACATAGGGACCTGGTGACTCTCCTTGCTCCTCTCTGGGGATCAGCAAAGACCAGGCTCAAGAGCACAGGTGCAGAGGAAGAACCTGGGACCCTGGAGACAATGCCACGGCGTTGTTTCTCCATGTCTGAGAAGGTTCTCAACAAAGCCCTGGAATTTTCAGGAATAGCTTTCCCACTGCTCCTGTCCCTGTGCATCCTAGCAGCTGGCCTACGCAGAGATGTTCCCAGGCTGATATCTCAGGAGCTCATTCAGAAACTGTTAGCCAGTGGCCTAAATGCCTGGCACCTTATCATTGGTCCCCGATTAACACTGGCTCCGCAGAGCACACGGCTGTTAAGTTCCAGGGCGGGAGAGGCCGGGCTTGGGTGCGGCACTCAGGCAGGGCACTGGAGAGAGATGGATCCTGGAGGTCATCTCAGCTCACCTCTAACTATAACGGGGAACTGGGCTGTGCCATACAAAGCTGGGGTTTCCAACTTGGGCGTTTGGGCTGTTTTCTGCCAATCACTACCACCTGCCAACCTGTGTGCCCATCTCTCAGCTGACTTCAGAATGACGGGGTGAGGATTGCTCCACCAGGAGCTTCCAGGAGGTCCCAGCAGAGAGAAAGTCCAGAAAGGACCCACTGAGTGTCCCCAAGAAGGGTGAGGAGTGAGTTAGAAGAGAAGCCGCCCAAGACTCTAAGGTGGGGGTGCAAGGGGGTGACAGGCTGCTCCACCGTGCCAACCCTGGTCAGAAATGAGGACTCCCTGGAGGAACACCTCCCCTTAGCCTGCCATTCCAGGTCTCCACACCCGGCCCTGCCTTGCCTCCCACCCTTATCTCCCGGGCCTGCACTCCTGTGTCCAAAATGATCCCCCTTTGCGTCCACACCCACCTTTCCTGAGAACCTCTCCTCAGGCTTCTACAGCCTGTCACCTCCCCCGTGGCTGCACACCACAGCAGAAGGATGCTCATGGGCAGCGGCAGCTGCCGTCATGAAGGCCACGCTGCAGGCTGGCCTGGTCACGCTGAGTCCTCACAACCACCCTCTCTGTTGATCACTATTATTTCCACTTAGTGGGTGAGGAAGCCAAGAGGGAGAGCATGGCCTGGGTCACAGGGGTGGATGCAGCCCCCGGGGGCCAGGCGCCCAAGCTCAGGCTGCCCGCCCCATCCAGCCCATGGGCAGACTTCACTCTTTCTGGAAACCGCATTCCATCTTTGAGGGCTGGGACCCTTTCATTTTTTTTTTTTTTTTTCATTCAGTAGCAGTTTGTTGGGTGCCTCCTACCACACTGCCCAGACCTAGGTCTTCATGTGGGTATTGTGATACTGGGATGAAAAGCCACAGCCTGTTTGGGAGACAGAGCCAGAGAGAGACCAATGACCGAGCACTGGTGACCTGCAGCGTAAAAGACCCAAGAGTTCCAGTTGCTTTCACCTGCACATTGGAACTGGTGACACCTGTGCCCCACTGTTCACACCTGGAAGCTGGACTGCCAGCTTGCACACAGTGGGCGCTCTCTGCATCGGTGGCAATGGCCAAGAGGGCACACAGGGTCAGCGAAAGCTCCAGAATATGCACACAGCTGATGGGTGCCACTGGCCATCTGGGTGCTTTTCGACTCCCTGACCACTTACAAAAATGGGCATAACTTGTAGCAGCTTGACAATGAAAACCTTGGGGGATTAAAACTCCTGGCAGGAGGCAATGATGGCTAATACTTCCAGGTGAGCCCTGCAGAGCCTCACACTGTGCCTCACGCCGCGTGGAACCCCATTGATATTATGGGTTAATGGTGAAGCCCTCCACTGCCTGGGGACAAGCAGCTGGGGAGGTCACTGGGGACAAGCTGGGTGCAGGTCCAGGATCGCTCGGTCTGTCTTTCATTCATCCTCTCTCTGCTAAAAGCACGCAGGATCTGCATTTCTCTTTCCTTGAGTCCAAAGGATCAGAATGTTTAATTAAATCTGACCGGAAACCTATTAGAAGCTGCAGCAGCCAAACATGGAAAAGTTTCACTCTGGTTTATCTGTTTCTCATTTCTCACCCAAAGCAAGTGTCCAGAATGCCCAGTGCAACACATAGCAGAGCCCCAGGACCTATGGGGCGCGGCCCATCATCAGCTTCCCCTGGGCCTGCCTCCCTCTGGCCCCCTGGAGTCCTGACCTTGAGCCCCTGCCTGGCAGGGGGGTCCAATGGATAGGGAGAGGCTTCAAGGATGGCCCACCCTTCACCATCTTCTTCCTCATGGTCACTTCCCCAGGCTGTCTGCGGGGCACCCCAAACTCATTCCAGCAAAGAGGTCAGCACTGAGCTGGTTTGGACACCCCCGGAGCAAAGGCCCTCAGGAAGGATCTACGCAGGGACTTGGAACTGTCTTCCTGCCCCCAGGGTTGATTTCCCAAAGACTTGGCTTTATCCTCCCCTTGACAGTGGGGTTCTCCCTGAAGGCAGTTTCTTTGTGTCTCTGTTGCGGACTTTCAGCCACTAAGGGACAGAGCTTTCCAGGCGCCTGCAGGAGCATCAAGTCCTCTATCTCCCCCGTCCCAGTGCTCGGAGTGCTGGATTTAGGGTCACGGCATGTCTGACTGTGACACCCCGCGCGCCTCTGGCACCCTCTCCAGAGCGCTTCCAATCACCACCTACCTTCTTTCATAGAAAGGGTTGCCCACCCAAGCCAGGCTGCCCCTCCCAAGCGCCCAGCGCTGCTAAGAACACCTCTGCGCGCCCCTCTTCCCAGGGACCCCTGTCCTTTACGCCAGCTCTCTCCAGCTCCTTCGTGCGCCCCAGACCTGCCCGAGCCCCGCGCCTCCTCCTGTCCCGCGCGCCCCTGCTCCTCTCCCGGCCCCGCAGCCCCGACCCCGGCCCGCCGCGCGCTCACCGCCGCCGTTTTTGTAGCAGAGGTAGGGGAAGCGCCACACGTTGGCCAGGTCCACGGAGAAGCCCACCACGGACAGCAGGAAGTCGATCTTCTTGCTCCAGGTCTCGCGGGGCGGGCTGTCCCCGCCGCGGGACGCCAGGAGGCACTGGACTCCGTTGCGCTCCTTCACCACCAGCAGATCCGCGCCTTTGCGCGCCCGCTGGGGCTCCTCGGAGTCCGGGTCGGCCCCGCTGAGCTCCGGCTGCACCTGTGGGTTCATTCGCGCCAGAAGCATGGGTGCGGCTGGCGGGACGGACGTCAGCGGGACTGGAAGCGCGCCGCGGCTCTGCTTGGGTGAAATAAAGGGATTTGGTCACTGGGCCATCCCACCCCGCTGGCGCCTCCCGAGACTTCCCGGGCTCCCTGGGGAGGCGGCGGCCCGCACGCGCGGAGCGCACGCAGGGTCCCCAGAACAGGGCGCGCGTCTGTGGGAGAAATCTGGGAACCGAGGTGGAGGCGCGCGGGCCCGGGCGGGAGCTTCGAGGTGGAGCCCGCCCCCGCCAGCCCCGCGGTCCGGCTAGAAGCCCCGCGGCGCTTCCCTCGTCCGCCCGCTGCTCCCTCTCGCCCCCAAATGGAGAGGTTGGGACACGCCTAGGCTGAAGTTTCCCGGAGCCTTGACTTGGCCCGAGGCAACTTGCTGCCCCCCCCTCCCCAAAAGGGCTCCGCGCCGCCGCCAAGCGCCCCGGGGGCCTCCCCAGCGCCTGGATCTCGGCCCTGCGGGCGCCCACCTCGCTCTGCGCGCTGCGCCCGCGTCCCCGGGCGCACCTGGCGGGCCCCGCGCCCTGGGCGCACTCACGTGTCGGGCAGCGGCGGCCCCGCGGCGCCGCCGACCTGGCTGTCCCGGAACCGCCGGCCTCCGCGGGCCGTGGCACCGGCCGGGCTGGACTCGCCGCGTGGCGCTCAGGCGCGGCCCGGGAGCGCGAGGACGCGGGGCGGCTCGTTGTGGCCGCACCGGGCGGGGCCGGGCTGGTAATGTAGCCTGCGCCCCAGGTAACGCGCCGATTGCATTAAGCCAGCGCCGGGCTCGCTCCGTCTGGAGCCTGTTAGCGCTAATGGAGAGTGACAGCGCGGCCGGGATGCGCAGGGGCTGGGGCAGGGGCGCGGCGCGGCCCGGGGGGCGGCGGGAGCCGAGTTCCTGGCGACTCGCGGGGACCGGGCGCGCGTTCCCTTTCCGGCGCGCAGCCGGGCGCCGCGGGCAGCTCGGGGGTGGGGTGGGCCCCGGGCTCTCACCTGGGACCACGGCTAGAGACCGAGACTTCCCCGAAGTGGGCGCAGAGTTGCGTCCCAGACGGGCTAGGAGAGGCCTCGGGGGAGCCGGGTTTCTCACCGGCTCTGCCACCCCCGCAGGCCTCTCGCTCGCCCCGGCCAGAGTCCCTCCATCAGCAAAACGGGGATGCTGGGCTGGCTCAGCGCCTAGGACGGCAGACTGATGGGGCAGACTGTTGCCTGGACAGGGAGATGTTGGGCAGATTTTGTCTGGCTGTTTCCCCGGTGAAAGGCCACGAAGCCGCTCTTGCTCCAGGGAGCTGTATGTTTGGGGAGGTCTGGAAAGGCATTTGAGGTTGTGGGCTGTGCAGGAGACTGAGAATGGCTCTTCATTCAGGTCTTTACTCATGCATGCAGTGTGCCAGGCACTGTTCTAGGCTTTCTGTCCTAGTGGACAACTCACTTGAAAGTCCCCCACATGGCGGAGTTTATAATCTGTCCTGGCAGTGAGGGAGAAAAAAGTAGCACAGTAAGTAAAAATACTGTATGGTATAGGAGGAAAAATTTGACTCTGGTATTCATTGAACGCTCATTTATGCACTAGTTCATTCATTCATTCATTCATTCATTCATTCATTCGTCATACAGAAGTGGAGCGTGTGAGATAAGCCTAGTGGGGTTCTGGAGAGAGGTGCAGCCTTCAAGGCAGCCCCAGTTCAGTGTAAAGAGCCCATCACAATCCACGTGGCCGGGACTGGTTGGGACCCTAGGGCCGCAGGAATTGGGTGGAGCTGAATCAGCAAGTTAGGGCTGGTGTGGTGATCCAAGAGGGCTTCATAGCAGTGACATCATTGAAGCAGAGTGGACAGGAGTCTGGATGAGCCTAGGCATGCTGGCCTCTCTGTTTTATAAACATACCAAGCCCAGATCTACTCCAGGATTTCTCCACGTGCTGTTTCCTTTGCTTGAGCTGCTCCAGAGGTCCATCCTGATCACGCAAATCCAAAACCCACCTCCACTCGGGGCTCCCTGGTGGCGCAGGGGTTACAGTCTCAGCACTATCAAGCTATCACCAGCCACTGTGGCACAAGTTCGATCCCTGGTTAGTGAGCTGACCCACATGGCGCAGCAGACCTCTCCTGTCCCCCCGCTGCTCCCCTCAGCAGTGTATTTCAGTGGATCTGCCTGTTCTGTTCCCCGCTCTGTTTCTGGTGAATCCTCTCACCCCCCCACACCGCTGGCCTCCACCCCAGCTCTTGTATGCATTAATAAATAAAAATAAATCTTTAGGAAAAAAACAAAAACAAAATCCACCTCCACTCTACAACACCCTATTTCATTCTCCTCTCTGCATCACTCACCCAATTTATTTGCTTATTATATATGTCCTCTTGGATTATACTGCAGCATCAGTTAGTAGAATGACATGGGGGTGTTTAGAGCATCTTCACCAGAGGGACCAGTCTCACACATGTCCTCGGTGAAGGATGCAGAGAGAAGAGGAAGGGTAGATTGGAGGAGTGTGGGTCTGCCCTGCCTTCTGGGGACTGATGATTGCAGACAGAAGGTCAGGAAAGGATTGAACAGAGGTTTCAGGGGGGCAATCTAGACCCACCTGTTCCACTCATCAGGGATATTCCTCTCCTAGGTGCCATGGATTCTCTGTACTAGCCTGTGAGGAAAGCAGGATCAGAATTGTCATTCATTTTTTTCTTTTCAGGTCAGGAAACATGTTCTAAGGGTTCGAGGAAACTGAGGTCCCACAGGCAGGAAGTGACAAAGCGGCCCAATCCCCTCTCCCAACACGGGGCTGGAAGCGCTGACAGCAACTCTAGCTGTCATGCCTCTCCTCTGCTCTCCTACCCCATGCTGTAGCAAACTGGTCCTGAGAACGCCACCACCAAAAGCCCTGTAAGCCCCCATCCCCACTGCTGCAGCACCCCCAGCCTCCCGAGCACCAATCGACTTGCACTGCTGCAGCCTCCGAGCTGGCCACCCCATGTCCAGTATCTTTCCAGCCACATGACATTCTCCAGCCACCAGAACGCCTTCTAAAACTCAAGTCTGATCTCTGCACTCTTCTGCCTAAAACTCCGCTGAGAAACAACACATCGACGTGATTTAATTAACCCTGGATTTGAGGTAATTTTATTTTCTTCTTTATATTTTTCTTTATCTGCCAACATTTCAACAATGAGCATTTGATACTTATGCAATCAGAAAAAGATAACCTACAATTTCTTCAAATCCTCCAATCTTTCCAAGATAATATCTAAACATCCTAGCAGCACAGACAAGATACTGCCTGTCTATCTAACCACATTTCTTATTATTCTGATACTCTTTACAAACCCTTTACCACCTCCAGAGTGTGCTTTATTTTCTAGCAATACGGGAGACACTCAACTACTACTGGTTCCTGCAACAACTTCTGGATTTTTAAATATACTGTTTGCATCTTTCTCTTGTGTGCCCAGAAAACTCCTATTCATCCTTCAAAGCCTCAGATGTCATCTCCAATGCAAACCCTTCCCTGATAACCACCTCCCAACAACAGAATAAACTCTTCCTTTATACTGCTTTGTATATTTGTCTAGTGCAGTTGTCTGTGTGACTTCCCTTTCAGGGACAAGACAGCCTAATATATTCTATTATATTGCTGCTGCTTCAGAAATGTGTACAAAACAGAATTAGAAGCCATCTCAATCACTGGTTGATTTGGGTGTCTCTGGTTGTTTATATTGAATTCTTCCAGAAGCAGAACCTGAAACAAAGATTTGAAATCTAGTAGCTTATTTAGGAGGCCATCTCTGCAAGCATGGGGAAAGAAGTGGGGAGGCGAGACAGGAAAGGGAAGGACACCAGTAGAGGGGACATTTAGGAACAGTGCCTCTGTTCAGCCCTGCAGGGAGCCTCTGAGAGAAGGCGCAGAGCCTGTCTCGTTGCCCCTTCCTGGACGAGCACTCTGGAATATTTATCTGTTAAGGCTGCCTCCAGGGCGTGACTTCCCAGCATTTCCACCCTGCCTGGTGTGGGGGCTGAGCATGCCCTTGTGGCCAGAACAAGTGTCCAGCAGAGTCCCAGAGGTGGCAGAGGAAGCCGGTGGGTGGGCTGTGCTTGGCAGGACCAGTGAGACATGAGGGTGTGGGCAGGACACTGGAAGCATTTGCTACAGGGATGGCAGGAGACACCCCTCTTTCCACCCTCAAATAGACACACCCTCAGAGGGTCAGTTAGCAAGCCCCAAGTTTCTACCCTGTGGTTCCAGAGATTTCTGAGGTCAGCCGTGAGGACACCAGGCTGGGGCGGGACTGAAGGAGAAGGTGTCTCTCTCCATTGCTGTCCCAGACTCCCTGTCCATAGAGCCACGGGGCCATGTGGCTTCTCTCTGTGCCCTGCATCCTGCCCCTGCAGGTGGCCTGAGGGGAAGAGGGTAGGCAGGCGGCTGGAGCATTAGCAGCGCTAACACGATCTCTGGGGAGGCGTCACTTCCACTTACCATGGCACTTGGTGACACAGGCCATGGGCACAAGGCAACGGCTGGTGCTGTCAGCCCAGCCTGGCCATCTCCCCTCAGACAGATACCAAGACCCTGACACCCCAAGGCTGGGCTGGAGAACATCTAGAATCCAAGGGGTTGGGTCCTGGAAGTGTCCCAAGGGTGTGCCTCCATAGCGTGGAGGGGAACAAAGACCGAGTGGAGGAGAGGTTTGTCTCCTTCCTTTCTTTTTTTCTCTCTCTTTTTTCTTGTTTGGTTTGTTTGTTCTGGGCTCAGAGCAATAGATCTGTGTGTCTGCAGCTGACCCGGGGTCACTCATATATCAGATCATTGGTCTTTAGTATACGTTACACTGCATTGCCTAATAGCATAAAAGGCCCCTCAGCAAAAGCTCCCACTTAACTTCAAGTCAGTCTCCGTCAGAACAGCCCCCACTAAATCCCCTAGGGGTCCTTGAGTCTTCCAGCCTACCCAGATGTGGCTTGGCCCTCGGCAGGCATCCAGCTGGGCTGAAAGGCCTGGCCAGGCTTGCCTCGGCAACCCCCCAGGAGACATCTGCACATTCATCCATATGGGCCACAGAAAGACTTTGGGTTTTGTTTTGAATGAGATGAGAGTCACGGAAGAGACAATAATAGGAGCTGGACTTGGGCACTGGGCAGCCACCGGCATTGAAGGGCATTTGTCCATTGCTGACGTTGGCA